TAACCCCTAAATTCATATTTAGTACTACATAGAATATCAAATAAATGGAATATTAGGCTATAATAATTGAGGCGTTCCATCCAACACAGGCGTATAGACTATAGTGTGCACGATTTCCTAAACCTAACGCCCTTATTGTATAGAACGCCTCATTTATAGTTTTGCATTAAAAAACAAATTTGTCTCACTCATAATATTATCAGATAATAAAACCTATCATCATTTCCTTATATTGCTTCTTAATCTTGTCCCGTACAAATGCCAGCTAAATCCTCGTGTCTCTGTCTACTTCATTTCCAGTCTTGATTTAAAATAATCAGTATGACGTTCAAATCTTAATGCAACAAAATATAAATAAGTAATAACTATTTATTTTCAAGAAACGTCTCATTTAAGAAGTATTCGATATAATGCACGATATCAGATATGTACATAATAAATTATATCATGCATGATTCAATAATACCTAATAATCTAATATACCTACTATAATTTATCTACCACTTTTTTTTAACTAGAAAAGGTCACTTCTGGAATGGCTTTAATACCACAAGCCTCTCACGGTTAGACAGTAAAAAATAATTTTTACTTATTACACTTCAACACGTATTCGCTATTGTACGCCTACAACTAAACGATATTTAAGAGAAGTACAAATGGTTTTGTAAGCCCATAAAATAATAATTATAGTCATTAATCGGCGTTAGCGTTCTTTTTCAATTTTTACTCTCTCTTGTTAACATCAAATCGCTTTGGGTACTTTTTTTTTTAATTTCTTAATAAAAATTACCTTTTTCAGATACCGGAGAAGTTTTTCTCTCCGCACTTACCGACGACAAACTTTATACGGTTTTATTTTATGGGTTATTATTATTATTATTACACTTTACCTCGGTGTTTTCCAAAAGTTTTTTTTTCTTCTTTCATTATTTATAAACGTGTACCTACACAAACACGAGACCGCGGCAACAACATCATAAAATATCCGACATCAAACATACTCTCCTGAGTAATCACTAGAAAAGCGTTTGACTAAGTTTATTATACCCACAAAACAACGCAGTCTATACGTCATAATAATATTTTGACGGGCGCGCCGGCACCGAGTGAATTAGCTAAATTGCGTGCCTCGCTGATAAGTAATGCCACCCTAATAAGTATACTGCTTGGGTAGAAAAACAAACATTTGAAGTTCAATTTGAATACTATTACCATCATAACACTATCAGGTCGGAGTCGGTCGAAACGCATAATCGCAGTTGCTTGTACAAGGTGTGGATACTAGCAAGGAGTGGTCGTAGGAGCTAAACCCTCCTCCGAAACAAAACAACAGTTTTTATAAGTTAAAAATCCTTTCCGGTCCACTAGAAACTATAACGGTTGGCTCTTTTCAAAAACCAATACTAGAGTCTAGGTCCTCGCCCGTGTCTAAAGCCGTTTTGACGAATTCCCAGCGTGAATCACCCTGTTTGTACGGAAAGCTACCTGCTGCTGGATAATTTCCACGCTAGCCCACGTGTGACATGACCCCGGTATTATAGTAGGAATACTAATTATTAATCCAATAATAATAATCATGCGTGTTATGTACCTATGTAAATTCATAGAACGTCAGTAGACGGCTGTAGAGGTGAATTGGAGCCCGGACCAAATTAGTAGAGAACCCGACGAGAGCGGTGTAGAGGCGAGGATTACAGACACAGGGCTGACAGGTAAGCGAACTTGTCAAAGTATAATATTATATTATTACGATTGTGTTTGCAGCCCGTCAACGTCAGATTCCGGCACTGTTAGGATTATAAATGTTTTAACCGTCGATGAGACATTATTATGATTACTGGCGCGTCCATTTATTTGCACATATTACTATAATAATATACAAAAGTGCGGAAACGGATTTACCGACACTGCAGTGTCGGACCAGAATGCCAATATATGTACAATACTATAAAAACTGAATACATCTAATCTCTGCACTCGTCGAAAAATCGTCTTTTTTCTTCAAATCACCCTCGCCGTTTGACAGTGACGAATAAAGTTTTGTACAGTATATTATGCGCGATTTACGAAAAAAAAAAAAAATCGTATCTACTTTGTTAAACGAAGAGCATGCGCGTTTTGTCGTTCTGCACAATGTACATCGAACAGCATCAGCCGAGAACAACGTCAACAACACTTTGAAAAGAAAACGGCCCTATATTTCATTTACTTTAAATTAACTTGCATATTTATACTATCAATGAATAGATAATAAGCAAAGAACCTCAGTTGAAAAAGTCACCTAAAATGGACATCGTCGCGAATAGTCTACATATTTGTAGTGTCAAATAAGTCAATGAATAAATTACTAGAAAAACAAAATGTCAAACTTCAATTGTTTGATTATCAAGAGATTCGGTGGGGTCTAAGCCCTCTCCTATTTGCATTACTGAACATGGATCACCCCATTCCCACCCAAAAACACCCAACTTCCTTCATGTTTTCTTCTGAACCTTTTTTTTTTAAGATGACATATATCCGCTCAGAAGTATTATTATAATTTTCTATAGTTTGTACTCCCAAGCAGTTTAAACGGTATATTTTGCAGATGTTTATCACGGGTCAACGGCGTTACTGTTATTAAACATTAATTGTTATGGCCGTATTACCAGTGTAATCCACGCCATTAAAACAGTTACAAAAGAGAAAACCCTATTGTATACTGCCATCGTTCTAAAAATGTGTTGTATTTTTTTTTCTTATTGTTATGTTTTATTTTTACTAAAAATTATTATGTACGATTAAACTGTGAAATATCTTAAATCAAGCTTACCTACATCTAAACCCACCAATATAAAACACGGATTAATTATTTAGTATTAATATTATATTATTATAATATTTCTAAAAATATAATTATATATTTTTACCCATGTTACGTGACGTCGTTTTTTTTCTGTATATCATTTAACGATGTCATAACAGCAAAAATGTATAATTTTACCGACTATTATGCTGAACAAAAGATTAAAACCTAATTTTCAAAAACTCGAACGCGCGGCGTTCTGTGTAGGCAAATTCACTCACCACACACAATTATGTAACATCTCATCTCGACTAGACTTGTAATTTTTTTTTACACGCTTCAAATAGGCATAAGTAAATGACATGGTATAATTAAAACATTTTAAACCAAACAACTTGAAAATTGAACCCGTAGGTAGGATACCGACGCTTCTGCCGGAAGTATTACAAGACACCTTGCTCAAGATACATTTCTCAAGTACTAGGTAACACGATACCTAGTCTATTGAATAAACCACGAAGAACTAACCCCTATGGAACTTGGAAGAAACTAATAAGACAAAAGAACAGATATAAATATGAAAAACAAACATGATAATACACGCCATCTTATAAGTAGGAAACAAAGTTCCAAAGGAATTAAGATCCGTTTAAGGCCGTATCAACACATAAAATAATTCCTTCTTTTAATGTTCCATACACAGTTAACAAATTGTTAACGCCAGTACTTTCGTACTCCTCAACTCCAAAAAGCGGATTGCATGTGCTCGCACAATTCTTAGATAAAGCGTGATGAGAGACCCGAAACTTAATCATTTAAAGTAAAAGATGATAAACATTAAATTGTAAACAGTAAAATTCAAGTATGATTTTATTGATTTATCAAATAAGACATAAGTGATTATCCAATCAGTGTTATATGTGGTTAAGTAACTATGGGACTCTTGGTAAGAGGTGTTTTATTTTTTAACTTGTTCGAAAATAAATGCTAAAACGTTCAATCTAACTATCATTGTTCAGAACTATTTAATTTTAAGCTCCTGCATAAATAAATTATCAAAAATAGGAAATCATATTTTCTATTAAATGAATTTACGTCCACATAAATCCACCCTCCGGATTAAAACTCTAAGTAGTTACTGTACTGTTACAACAATGCAAATTGCAATTTAACAAAAACCTTGTTAATAGTTGTAACAATTATTATTATTATTATTACTAGTTATTATTGTAACAATACGTCTTGATAATTTAACTATTTATAATTAAGTGATTTAGAATAATTTTAAAAAAGACGACGTCATCTTTTAAAAAATAATCGTAAAAACGCGTTTATAGCAAAGCGAAATGGTTATAGAAAAAATATGTTGATACCGTTAAAAAGAGGAGAACTTTAACAATAGTCTCTAGTAGGTTTTTTAGAAAACTTAATTTTTACCTTACATACAAGCACTTAAAAAAGTAAAAACATTTAAGTTGTGAATGTTGGGTTAGTGATATAAAAAAAAGCCGACAATAGAACCATAGGCGCAAATACGAGGAGGCTAGGGTGGGCTTAGCCCCCCCAAAAAAATTAGGTTATGCATACAATTTTGAAAAACAAAAATATATTTACTTATATATATATTTTAAAAAAATTTCCACCCCCCCCCCCCAAATTAAAAATTGAAATTACGCCTATGAATAGAACCTAGATATAGTTCTCATTATTTTAAAAATATAAAACAAAATGTTCTTTGATTATTATTTAGTCAACAATAGAGAATATGCGTAGCTATGTTTAAATGAAAACAATTTCTTAAATCGCTCTCAAGGATGCTGTGATAATCCAATAAAAATAAAACTACTAAAAATGAGTCCGTAATACTAAGCAAATAACTACACATCACAGTTTAATCTTTAAATTAAGATTTTGCAAAAAAATGACCTATTCCAAACTTCTTAATAAATAGGGGTATGGCGTCCTCTTAACAAAAATAAGAATTGTAAAATAAACATGAAATGGATATCTTAAAAATAAAAATAATTTTCAGCATGTATAAAGAGTACATTTTTTTATTTTTGAATATAATATAAATGTTGAATTATCCATATTATTCACTACATACATTTCAATTATCTTTTTGAAAAATTTGATTTCAATGACATATTTATCATTTAGAGTTTATGATATAACTCACAAACCAAACAACATGTCTTAAATAATGCACAATATCTCTTTAAAATATTTGTGTCATTTATTTAGTTTTTTTCTTGTAATAAACATTATACATTTCTAATAAACAAATTTACAATATGCTAGTATTCATTGACATCTATTTGAAATTAAACGTTTTTCAAAACAATTATTTCATTTAATGACCGCCTTCTTCCTTGACAAATCTTAAACCACAGTAGCCACAGGAATGATTTCCAGGTTTATCCTGAAAAAAATATATTTGTTAATTATTAACTATTTATTAACATTTTAACCAAAAAATATTTCAAAATAATAAATTTGCTTAAATTGAATAATTTCCTACTAAAAGTGGATTTATATTAGATAATATTGGTTGTGAATTGTGACCAACTTTATTTATTGTATCATGGCAATATTAATTCAATATAATAACGAATGCATCATTTTTTCTATATTCCAGGCAACAAGGGAACAAAAACTACTTGCGTAAAAAACAAAAAACGAGTGACTCTCGTATGCGCCTGCACAGCCAGTAGTAACGCGTTATGGTTTCTGCAAAAGTACGCTCTTTCGTGGTACAGAGTACAGAAGACATCTTTGAAATAATATTCCTTATTCAATTTTGAAACATTGAAAAATCTTTAAAATTATTAAATAACTAGTTTAACTTTTTTTAGAACAAAACGTTTGTTAAATTATTTTAAAAACTACATATATATTAATTTTCTAATACAGAGAAAGTATATAAGTTTTTATAAGAATGTTTAGTTAAATATCCAATTGTTTACTAGTAATCCATGAAGCGCAACTAGAACTCACACAACTAAAATATTTGCAGTATACTTAAAAGTTTTTTTACCAGATTTATATAGACTTTTGGATGACCTAATGGTCCACCGCCACCATCACAAAACACAACACGTTCTTTACATTCTGTAGGTGGTACTTGTTTGACTAGATCAATGGCAAAGTTTGGATTTACTTGCTTCTCTTTATCTATGTAACGTTGTAATCTATAATCGTCCTTATCCCATTTCTACACAAAACATAATAATACATTAAAAAAAAATTATTTTTATGTTGTTATGCAATTTTTATAATACAAATTGAAGTGTAAAATGACAGAAAATATCCTTCATAGAAACTATATTCACAAAATGTATTTCTTTTATAGAAGTTCAATATCATTATCTCAAAAAAATGAGTTTCTTATTACTGACAACTAACTAACCTGTCCAGTATGGGTTTCAACTTCTTTTGGTTCCCACGAATACTTGACTGTTTGAACCACACTAGGGAGGAACATACGTTTGGTCAAATTAACGGATGTTCTCAAATTTAATAAATTTAAAGCCATATTTAATAATTTCAGTAACAACTATAAAATAAAATTGTTTTACAAAAGTCACAACTAAGTGTATTCTGTGATAGGCGATAACGAAAAAAATTATTTTGTTCAGGATGGTTATTGATAAGAAAACATCTGTCATTTGTTTTTATAACGTTATAATATGATAAAAGTTAATGATAATGTGTTAGACTAATCAGTTAAAGCATGACAAAATATTTCGTTTGTTTGCTAACTGTTTCTTTTTTATTTGTCCTACTCAATACTTTTAGATGAGTGCTATGTTTTGCAATTATACAGTTTGTCAATCGTTTTATATATTCAACAGCTAACAATTCACCGCACTATAGTGTAGATAACCAACATTTTTTTTTTACTTTCATTACTGTGCCTTCACACAGTTTAAGTCCACCAAGTATGAACAACAAAATGGAAAACAAGTTTTCCGGTTTTGCCAAGGAGACGACAACACGTCCTGCATGTAAAAAGTGTGGATACTCTGGACATTTAACATTCCAGTGTCGTAACTTCATCAAAATCGACCCCAATAAGGATATTGTACTCGACGTAAGTAGTACAAGCAGTGAGTCGGACGAACCGTATGTAACGCCATTGGTTCAGTTGCGTGAGGCAGAACTGGCGATGAAATTAAAAAATGAAACCACAAAGAAGAAGAAAAAGAGAAAGAGTAAAAAACGTAAACACAAATCTTCTGATTCAGATTCTTCAAGTAGCGATTCTGAAAGCAAATCTGAACGACATAGAAAGAAACATAAGAAACACAAAAAACATAAAAAAGTAAAAAAATCAAAAGATTAATATTTTGTAATGTGTAAGAAATAATATTAAGAGTACAATTTTTTTATAAACAATAGTATGTTAAGGTTAAAAAGTTTTTTTTTTATTTTACGACTGAAAAATAAAATTAGATGTTTTAAAAAATATTATGTTTAATATACAAGGTTTTGTTCTTTATTACACGTAATATTTAAACAGTAATACTCTGTTTTTATATTATATAGTTGTATTACTCTACTCTGAAAATCATAAGTTCATAAGATTTAAACTATTATTCTACATACTAAAAAGTATTATGTAATGCTATATAATAACAATACCTTTAAGAATTTTTTAAAAGTAATACCATTGAATAATTTAATTAAATAATGTATTATTGTCATGATATACCGGACCTTTGTAAATGTTTTTAATAAATTCTGAATTATTGAAAGTTGTTGATTATTATTTTGTTCAAATTATCTCATTTACTTCGTACAGATGTTGAAGTGGTACAAAGACTAACAATGTGACTTCATAAGTGAATGTATGGATATTCCATGAAATTTAGTATATCACAGCAGTCATATTCAACTGCTATTTATCTATGAGCTTTTCCAAAATCGGTTGGCAATATAAATAATATAACTAACAAAAAAATGTTTGTAATATATGCTGAGAAATCGTAGAAAACCTATTAGGATTAGTAGCGAAACCTAACAAAGTTTTTTTTTTAAAACAATTAAATGCTAAATAGTATGGTAAAGTCTGAATAAAAAAATGATATAGAATCGTTTAATGTAAAATCATTTCCCAAAGAATTTAAAAATCTACAAATATTTTTTTTCAAAAATTGTTGTTTAATGATTTATACCAGAGAAATAAGTGCACTATAAAACAACATAAGTGATATCTTGTAAAACAAACAAGTCACAATTAAATATAATAAGGAAAAAAGTATTGGGAATACATATTTTTATAAACAAAAATGAATAAAATAACAAAACATCAAAATTAAATTACATTCATGTAACCTGTAAGTTATATTCAGTCGGACATCTCTAAAGCAGCAAATTTATTAGATGAAATAGCACCGCAAACTTCTGACTCGTCACTATCGCATAGGTCTTCATCATCGTCTTCATTAGTATCGCTGTGAGTAACTGCATCTGTGTTTTGTACATGTTCGTCATCGGATACTTCCACTGAACAATGTTCATAACGCTCAGGTTCTTCGACAACTCCTTTTATTTTCCAAACATCTTTCAGATGTTCTGATGAATACCAACGTTCTAAAAATGTTCAGATTACATCATTAGTTCTTTTATATATTATTTCATCAAAATCAATACATGAAAATTTCATTTTTGAAAGAAGTACTTAAGATAATTCTTATTCAACTCAAAATTAAAAGAACCCAACTATTTTAGTACAGCTATATTACAAACTGAATAAAACAACAGTGATTAAAATTTAGAACGTAATATCATTATTACAGTGAACACATTGAAGAATGATTTAAAGATAAATGTAAATTCAGAACCTGATTTATCCACTTTAAACCGTAAGGCAGAAAATCTTTGGGGGGCCTTGTTCTCATTAATTACATAAATAGCTCCCCAAAAATGTCATGTTTTTCTATTTACTATAACATTACTACTCCTAGAAATACAATACTCCTGTTACACGAATATATTTTTCTTAATGTTTCACAAAAAATATATATATTGATTGTGGTTCCTATTTGATACAAAGACTGTGTAATTAAATAATTATTTCTAACAAAATAACATTTTTATCACGTTCTTTTAGTAAGTGTATATCTAAATTGATAACCAGCCTAAAAAATAATGTCTACATTTCATTTTAAATTCTTAAAACATATTTTTTTTTATTGAATTAATGTTTCAAAGAAGTTTTTAAAATGTCTTCCAACAATACGATAATATTTTAACAACATTTTAAAAAACATTAATTCAATTCGAAAAAAATGTACAAATGATAATAAAACGATATAATTTTTTTTTTTTTTTTTTGATTTAAGGAAATAAATTATAATCACTTAAAAATCGCTTACAACAGTTGAACACAGAGTCTTTTCAATTAAAAAAAACCCATTTTTTTCAAACGCTGCGTATAATATTACAAATGGATCCATGATGGAAATTCATACTTTTATTTTGTGTAAATCCTTCTGGTCTCAATGATAAGCAAATTTTTCCATCGAGAGACATTCGAAGAAGGTGATTAGCAGCACGATACGTGTCCGGTCGGCCAGCTCTTGCAGTCAAGAAACCACGTTTTATAGCCCAGCCTGTAACAAAATAATTTTAGACCTCATATATTTTTTAATACAGCGAAAGCTTTCTACTATAACGTACTGTCACAAATGTCCATAGCTGACCACTCGTCTTCCCCAGGTTCAGGATGTTGCAGGTTCAATATTTTTACAAGATTTAATCTTTCAGCCAAAAATTTCACTGTAGAATAAGGTTCTCGTAGTTGTGCAATAGGATAACAACCCATCAGTACCTTTTAAATTGTTCATACAAATAATTCATAAAACTCATAAATATGGATGTTTGTATTATTGATTAAATATATTACTTGTATGGGTTTAGGCAGTTTGGAAGGAAATACTAAGCCAGGACAATCGCATAAACGAACTGTTGGGGTTAAGAATATCGTCTGAAAATGCTTTGTGTGCCCAGGTGTTCGAGAAACACTCACCACCTAAATTGATACATATAAAATACAATTAATATACATAATTTCGGTTTAATATCAGAGGAACTTATCAATTAAAAAGTTTTTTTTAGCAAATTTTTGTGTAAATAGAATTTAGTGTTAAAACACTGTAGCTTCTAGCGTACTCCTATAGTAATTCAATTGTTTTTTTTTGTTTATTTTAATTTTTAATTTTTAATCATATGTTCATCAGATTCTAGACAGACGATAATTAAATAAAATATAAACAGAAAACCTAATAAAGCTATTGTGTTATGAAATCCAAAAATAGTACCATCAAATCAGTACATTTTCAATGTTTATTTATACATTTAATTTATTCTGCTGTACTTAACCTTTTTTCCCATCAATGCATTTAACACCGAAGACTTCCCAGCGTTAGGTTGTCCAAGGAGACCGATTGTTAAAAAACTATTTTGAAATAAATCAAAATGCTCATAACTGGTTACTGGAGCAGTCTATAACATAAAGGCATAAATTAAATTATAATCAACTAACTAATAAATATTAAACATAGTATTTATTTGAATTATCCATAAATTATAAACTAACACTAATTGTTTCTCCAATTTCTATGTCCTCTTCATTATCATATTCTTGTTCTTTTTCTTCAGCTATTTTTGACTCCCAGCTATCCAAATCGACTAAAACGAGTAAAATTAAAAATGTAATTACAATAATAACAATAATTACCTAAATTTAACAAGTATGGCAAATGCATATAATTGATTAAAATATAAAATATTTATTCTTATGAAAATATATACATTAATTAATATTATACTTGTGGTAGTGAACAATATTGATATTTCAATGTGTATCAACCTTTACCACCACTTTTTTTTTTGGCTATACTCAATACTGATATTTAATGAAATTTCACACCAACTTATGTAAAAAAATACCAAGTTAACATTCAAGTTCATAAATTGCAATAAATACCAATTTTTGACTAATATTTAAACAACAAACTTGAAATTGCATACTTTTGGCTTGATATTTTTCAATGATATGTTTGCATTCTTTCAACAAGCTTTCTGCAGCTTCTGCGGCCATTTTCAATTTACCCCTGGGTTTTTTCTTTTGTATACCTGTAGAAAAAGCAAGTTAAAAATTTAATATGAAAATTAAGTAATGGATTATGTATATTAAAAATTGCCCACCCTCTTTAAACTCGGAACTGTTAATGTACGAAGTGAAGAATATTACGTGTACTTTTGCTTTATCGCCAGCTTCTAGATTATAAGTTTCGATTAATTTATACTTCCAAGCTAAAGCTACTGCTGATGGAACCAGATCTACTTTGTTCAATATTATAATCAAATTTTTTTTTAACGTCTTCAACACATAAGTAAATAGGTAAGGAGGTATAGCCTAAAAAGTAATAATAAAATTACTATTAATTATTATCATATATTAACAAATATTATCAGTCCTCACTATTCGGCACTCAAATATATTTTATCTTCCAATTAATGAATGATAAATTATTAAATTTTAAACTGAATAGAAAGTAATAAGATTAAGTAATTTGATTATCGCAATTTGCAAAAAAGTTAACTAACTTTTATCTTAGTAAGTACACAACTCAGTTTACTTACAGGGTAACGGGCATCAGCAACCCATACAAGAATATCAGACATTTCCATTACTCGCCACATTTGTCGCCATGTTTCAAGATTTAATTCAAAATAACTCAATTGCTCCCAATCATTTCTTTGTTTTAAAGACTGTAAATAGTTTTTGAAGTAACTATATTCACGATTATCTAATTCTTCCCTTGTCATTTCAGCATTCCATTTAGGTCTGACAGGAAAACCTAATTCATTACCACTAAAATATGGAACAGGATTAAATTCTAGTTCTTCTTCGGTGACAAAAATAATCCCTTTTCTAGCTTCTTCCTTTCTCTTACGTAATTCATCTTCAGTTTCACGTCTGAACTGTAGTACATACCTATGAAAAAACAAGACTTTAGTAAATTACGTATACAACAAAATAATAAATGGTCATGCCTAGTTATAAAAGCAAAAATAAATGTGTTTTACATAGAAAATTTTTCAAAATGTTTGTATAATAACATTGAGTGTATATTGTACAATATATACTCAATGATAATATATAATAATAAGTATTTTGCAAAAGCAAGTAAAATTGCGATTTTTTTAATATCTAATGTGATTGGCATTCATTTAGGATTCATTTTTATCATTTTCAGCAAACATTACAAAAATTACTATAGTAAATTGTAATAATTGACTTATTATAATTTGTATTATTAAGAAAAATTCAAATTCCTATCAAACTTGAGTTCATTTTAATATAAAAGTATTTTATTTACATCAATGTTCTATAAAACTTTAATACTATGTAAATTATAAGATTACTGGTTAGGATTTGATCTGCCACCACGATGCAACGGCTGCTGATTAATGCTTTGAATGTTAAGTTCTGTATCCCGTTCTTTTACTGGTTTAGAATTGTGTTCTGTTTTTTCATATCCAAATTCTATTTAAATCATGAAAATATAATAAAATGTAATTTTTACAATTTAAGTATTTTAAAAAAATGTAATAGATATATACTTGTATTACTTTAACAATAATAGCATTGTTACAAAATATTAATAAATCATTTATTTTAAAAATTTACCATCACCAGTTGCGGAATTTAGCTGTTTTCTTTTCTTTTTTTCTTGTAATTGTTGCTTTTTCTGTTTGCCACTGAAAGGCAGTTTACGGCGTCCTTGTGGCATATCGAATATTACATTTCACAAATAATTAAATTTAAAAAAAAAATAGATACTTGATAGCTTGCAATTCTCAAATCTCAATTCTAAATTTTTAACGTTCAAACGAAAAACGTCATTATTTCATAATATTATCCTTGTGGTGTAAGGGTTAAGACTGTAACAGTGAATAGTCCTCTGATACCTCCTATTTGTGTTCTAATTTACCGTTATCAGTAAATAGTGCGCAGATTACAATGATATGTAATATGTGTGGTGGTGACTGGTGGCCCAAGTTTAAATAAAGGTATAGAATATTCTCGAAGTAACGAGATTCGTCACTGAATTTCGAGATTATTCTACATAGGGATGGGTCTAATGTACAAATATATCGTACTATGATTCAGTTATAAATATTAAAATGTACTGCTATTTTGATATATTGTTATAGTTTTTCCATTCCTAAAACAAAAAATGAATTTCGGTACTATCATCCAGTTGTAAATATCAAAATCTATCAATAATTAGTTATAATTGCCGATATTTTGATATATGTATTCATTTATTTGTCCCATCCTAAATTGTACACAGTAATCAGTATACATCCAAATTTAGTCTAGACCGCCAAAATCCTATAAAATATTAAAGACCCTATGAATTATATAATAAATACCTGGAATTATTATTACATCGAACCCATGTTGGGATATTTTAAATACGCGTTTATTCAGTAGGAATAAAAAATAATATATATCAACATTACCAAGGTAATATTTAATTATATTATTATTTAAATTATATTATATAATATTGTTCCGAGTTATTTTACATATGCATATTTTCGATTCATGCTATAATATAATAATTCATAATTATAATATTTTTATGTTAGTTGTTACCTATAATTTATGAATATATTACATTAGGAATTTATAATTGTATTTTATAGTAGCCAATTAATGGGCTGCATATGTTTCTATGGCACATTCATCATGTAATAAATTGACAAATTGGCTGATTAAGAAAAAAAAATTACATATTAAAAAATTGTATTTATATTATCATAAAATTTAAAAAAAAGTAATTTAAATGTTGAATAATATTGGCAAAAAATGTGGAACGCTTCACGATTTTGCGTGTCATCCTTGCGCAGGGGCCATGCTAATCTTCTCTGTATCGTTCCAATTTTAGTATATGTACTGCCGAAGCAAGTACAACGTTTCAGTGTGTATCCCTCAGTATATATACCAAACACATTACATACTTTGATCACATGCGAGAGTTCGTTATGGAGTTTCTGTATATAGTACGACGTTCGGATAGAGCGCGTTGGAAGCATTCGTTTGTAGAATGTGATTTGATAAATGATAATAAACGCCGATAAAATCACTGATTTAATCTAATCTGTGATAAGACATTGATGGATTTTCTGGCGCAGCCAAATGCCAATAGCTGTAGCCTGTATTAACTATTAAATGTTTCGGTTTCTGTACACTGCACTGGTTCATACTTCATTCTGAAGTTTAGTAGAATTTATAAATACTACGGTTCACGGCGTTAGTTTTTGGGCAAAGGCAAGTACTTATTTATGACTTGTCATCATAGTAGAATGTAATAATTGTTATTTGTTATTGTAGAATGTAAATTGATATTTTATAATTATATGTACATATATCAATCATTAAAATAAATGTTTGAACTGATTAGCAATAAACAACACTAGTGATATATATCGTATCAATGAATAATATTATGAACAATTATTATTTTCTGTAATCATTATTTTTTCCTAATCATTTATAAATAAATTCACTTAGCATTCAAGTAAGTATTTTATTTAATAATATTTATGTTGTTATTGTTTAACATATAAAGCCTGTCCCACACTCGTGTACTTGATAATTATTGTCATCGTGAATTATCGTCTTGTAGCATTTATAGATCATCTTAGTCGTGAACTACTCCGAGTCATGTAGGAATCTCTGCAATAGTTTATACAAATATTCGTTATCCATTTGACTTATGTCACATTTACCGACAACCATTGGGAAACGCCGAGTAAAAATAATTGTCATACTTTACAATTAAATATCTTACACGACTCGTAAAGCATAGCGATTGACGCTTATTTGCTAAATATGCAAGTCGTGTGGGACTGGCTTAAGACACATACCACTATTGAGTATAATATATTTACTTTATCGTGTACAATATATATCCAATGAGAATACATATATAAATAACATATTTGTATTTTCTGATTTACCCCTTGTGTTTAAATTCCAGGGCTGTATCTTTTTGATGACTAGATATTATATAAATTAATCAAGTCATATAATTTAATATTATTTTTATTTTATAGAATGTAAGGGTAATGTCGTTTTTTTGTAAAACTGTGGTTAAATATTCAATAATTATTAGATGTTTATAACTAAATTTTTATTTCAGGTAAATTTGGTGTAATGGCTACTCAATCAGAAATCAAGGTTGTTACTAATAATAAATGCTTTGGAGGTTATCAGAAAGTATTAGAACATTCTAGGTATTTTTAAAATTTAACAATTTATGAAACAGTTCTATTAATAATTGTTTATTATTTGTACAGCGATGTACTTAAATGTACTATGAAATTTGGAATATACATACCACCACAAGAAAACGAAGAAGAACAATTCCCAGTATTGTTTTATTTATCGGGTTTAACGTGTACTGAACAAAATGTGATAACTAAAGCTGGGTTTCAGAGATTAGCTGCTCAATACAAAATGATTGTTGTTACACCTGACACAAGTCCTAGTAGGTTTTAAACTATTTTTATTTTTTTCATTCAAAACTGTGGTGTTGGCTATAATTTGTAATTTTTAAAACTATACATATTGCAACTAAATCATTTTAATATATTTAAAGGAAATTGTGGTATTCCTAACGAAGAAGCAAAATGGAATGTTGGTGCTGGTGCATCAATGTACGTTAATGCTACTCAAGAGCCGTGGAATAAGCATTTTCAAATGTACACATATATCACTGAAGAACTGTATGAACTCGTGTTGAACAATTTTCCAGTATTAAAAGAGCAGGTGGCTATCACTGGTCATAGGTATTTTAAATAAGTATTTACAGTTGTTTACTTTAACTCTTAACTGGTACGGTGATGAAAAACGGAGGGGTTTACATTTATGTGGTCTGTAAAACTGCATTGTACCAGTTACCTGTTACATCATCTTAGATTTATACATATGTTATTATTCTCGTGTGTTTTAGTATGGGAGGACACGGAGCACTAATGTGCGCTTTACGTAATCCAAATAAGTATAAGTCGGTGTCAGCATTAGCACCAGCTTGCAATATATCCAACTCACCGACCTTAATAGAAGGATTAAAGACGTTGATTGGAGAAGATATGGAATCTTTTAAAACTTGGGACCCAACTATTTTAGTACAATCGTATAATGGTCCTAAACTTGAAATATTAATACATGTGGTAATTAATTTTTTAATATATACTTATTATATATCTGTATGTGTTCAATTAAATGCTCATACCAATGGATATATTTGTACATTATATTTTTTTCGAGAATTTTAATTTATGACACAATCCCTAGTCAGCAGAGCTTGTAGTTGTGTGAAAAAAAGATGATATTGTCAATTTTTCAGTGTCTGAGAATTAAACCTTGAGTACCATGTTTAGCTTTTACATTTTAAAATTAGGTTTTTTTTCTTCTAAACAATTGATCTTTTTTTAACCGCTAACCAATATCCATGTAAATAGTCCAACTATAGCACTTTTTGATATTAGTTTTTGAAAATGGCATCAAAAAGTTGTACCTATAAAATATAAAACAATACATCCTAATTGTATCCATACTTTTACTAAAAATGCAATTTTAAGCACATTATTGCCATTCCCATGCTGTTATCGTTATTTGTATTTCTGCCATCTACAGATTTACATTGAAGCTGAAAGTGATAAAATCACTCAGGTATAACTCTTGTAGTCCTAGACCTCTCCCGCCCCAATATAATTTGTCCCTACTAGGTCCTAACACCACTGTACTGGCTTTTTATTGCATTTATTTATTGTATTATATTTTAATTGATTTATTGCTTTTTATAGTATATTTGGTTTTAAACATTCCAATTCTTACAGGGTACTGAAGACAACTTTTTAAAAGAGGATTTACTGATTGATAACTTTGTTCAAGCGGCTAGCGGAAATGACAAAATTCAGTCTATTGTTAAATATGAAAAAGGCTATGATCATGGATATTATTTTGTGTCAACATTTTTTGAAGAACATATTAAATTCCATTATTCTATTTTACACAAATATGCCTAAAATAATCAAATTTGATGCACTGGGTTGTCATGTACTGCTAATTATTAACTATTATGTGCAACCATATTTAACTCTTATTTAAAAAATCTTGGGAAACTGGATACACAATAGCACTGATAATGCACTTGAGGGGCACTGTAATATGTTATAATGCTATAGATGTTTAAAGCTGTATTAGATTTTTAATAAAAAACACTATAATTATTAATGTAATTAATAAATATTGACCTAAGTGCACTTGCTTATTAAAAAAAGAACACTGTTTAGGTTAATACAAATTTGACGGTATAACTATCATAACGTTAATAATACGGGATAAAAAACTGGGAGGTATATGGTCTTGGATTGGACAGTCTCTTCCTTTTTGAAAGGTTTTTTGTTTTTAGCTTCTGTAGCCCATTCAGAGCCTTTGCTGCTTCTACTATTTCATGCCATCTTTCTCTATCTTTACTCTCCTCTAGTCTTCCTGTCTGTCATTTTTGTGTGATAAATATCTTGCCCTTGTTCATTTTTATCAGTTTCTGGGGCCTGGTTTTAGTAATAACTTCTGCACGCGAGCTACCAATCACCATATCATCGGCGTAGGTAAGTTGGTAACTATATAGTAAGTATTGTTTTATCCCCAAGTAATTCCATTCCTTAACAAACTGGCTTAGTTCTTATCACTTTCTCCAGTGTTACATAATACGTTGAATAGAGTTGAAGACAGTGCATCATTCTGTCTAAGCCCTGTCTCAATTTTCTGTTATTTGCTTTCCAAATTTAACTTCTCTCTCTTCTTTATACAATAATATATTTAAAGCCAAGTTCTATTATTTATTCTCAATATTATTAGCTATTTAGTCAAGCGATTGATTGAGGATTAGTAACTGCTATACTCTTGAGATGTAGCTTTTGATAAGATGTGATGGTTCGTTTTGTTTTCTTAATAGAAGAAAAATGAAAGGATACCTTTACTTAAAGATCGGGACATTCAATGTGATAACTTAAAAACTTTTAAATTAAAAGAAAACAGTAGAGTTTTATTTGTGATGCAGTGGTTAGGCCTTACAGTTTCTGTTCTACTGGTATAGTCCGGGTTACCGGTTACCACACAATTAATCGTTTAATCGGCTAAACCGTGCGATTAATCTACACTGTTTGTTCCAAATAGTGAAAATTATCCGTGTTAAATCGTTAATTTTTAATTTCATGATATTGGTCATAACTCGCAAGGAACAACATCAAATTTATAACTGAAATTCGATTAGGGTTGAATCAATAATTTTTTACCGGGAACGTAAGTATTATAATTCAACCGACCCATTTTGTATTGATAGCATGTCAGACAGAACCGGAGAGGTAGTGTTTTTGTTAAAAGGATCACCAAAATACTTAGTTTTATTAGCCACCTTAATCAATTTTTATCTGAATCTACACCGTCAATATTATTTAAAAATTAAAATATTTTATACATTTTTTATAACTTAAGACCAATTTGTCTTGATTTTTTTGCAAATTTATTAATCGCATATTATGACATAAAATACATCTAGGGGCTCTACTCCCCTTTTCTCCATAACTATGCCTCTAATATTACAATAAGTATAAGATATGTTATGAACTAACTTTTTTTTTACTTCGGTCCTCGCGTATTCAATTTTCGCTAAACCAAAATCCAGTGATTCATTTTTCTGACAGAAAGTGAGATATTTCCCGTTGTGTCGTGACCCAATCATGAACATACCTATAACTCGTATAAATTAAATCTGTGGTGTTTGGGCGAAAGGGGATAAGTTTAAATTTGATTTTCTTTTGTTTCAAGTTTGATTGATTACCTTTTACTTTACTTTTCACTAAATATAACAACTCAAACTAGCTAACTGGCTACTCGGAGTTCATATTGAAGTTGGGACAATGCAAGGTTAATAGATAATCTATATTATATCTATCTTGGGGACAATGGTCAACTTCTCTTATCACAATCTTAAATAAAAAAGTAATATTTACTTATCCCTTTTGCTCAAATACGGGACACCACAGAAATCTTCTATTTTATTTTTCTAACATCAATCTTAGCATACTAAATGAGATGTCTATTGAATTTCATATGTATGTAGGTATAAATTTGAATAAATAATGTACTAAGCTTTAACACTGAATATTATGCCGTGTCTATTTTGGCAACCTATTATGTTATTAAGCAGCGAGCGGCTATATCTAGTTTTTAATTAATAAAACTGTTGCTCTCTCACAATAAGCTAGAATTATCCAATATACAAAATTAATTAAAAATATAATAATACAAAATTTAGTAAATGTTTAACTAAAAGTTATACATTTAGAATGTTGAAAATATTTTGTGTTTTTATATACATTTTTTGGAGGATTGTATTTATAGAATTTTGAGTTTATCATAGTTTGAGCCGGTGAAAACAAAATTTGTCGGCCGAATTTTGTTTGCAATCCGATACCGCTAATATCATATTATAATAATATGAACTATGAACAACAACACAAGCTTATATATTTTACTCGCTATAAATACACCGTTTATATGTTTTAATAACGCCCAATGGTAATTGCCTAATGCCTATCTTGACGAGTCGTGGAAAAATATATTTTTAATTTGTTATTTTTATTTCGGCAATCGGCCTACGGCGAATACCGTATATTATGTTGCAATCGATTTTTAACGTTATTCCGCAATTTTCAAGTCGGTCGATAACACTTAATTATGCCAATGTCATTGCCAAAGCTAAAGCCAGACGTGCCGTGTCATAATAATCCATATACCACGCAAGGCTGTATAACGTACACGGCGGATCCATCCTACCTATCTATACTAGCGCTCTACGCTGCTACCGCCCAGGCCAAGACCTAGCACTGCAGTCGTTCCGCGTTCGCCAATCGCCCCTCGGCCCTCGCCACAACGAAATCACAGACGGTCGCGAGTCAACTGAGACCATTCAGTCGCGGTCGTTAACCGGTAGGAAGCGGTTGTGGTGTGACGTACATTCAAATTCCGTGTGTGATAATAATAAAAATTTGTCACCTCGTTCGTTTACTCAAATAAACCACGTAGTCGCTCCTGTGAAATTTTAAGGAAACAAATCGCACACCAAATTCATAAAAAAACTACCAAACAAACAGTGGCCGATTCGAGAAAAAAATATTTTTCGCCGGTTCTAGACGCACATTTCGCATCCAGACTGATACATCTGCATATTATAGCGATTTCTGTTCACTCAATTGACTAAGATTCGTTTTTGGCGCTGTGCCTTGAAGCCATGAAATTACACCAATTGTCGGAGGACAAATGTTTCGGCGGATACCAGAGAGTATACGAACACGACAGGTACGCATAGGAAATCGTTAATAGTTTACACTGTATAGTTTTATGCTAATTTCATATTTACACTACTCAACAACATTAGTGGGCTTGTACTATTATGCCTTGTAATTATAATACATAAGTGATACTAATATACAATGCTAAAATGAGGACTAGTAAGGATATGACTGCGATTGAGTTGAAAACGAAACGTTGCAAAAATATGAATTTTATTCGATAAAATTATTCGACAATACACCTAAATGACGGTATTTCAATGTATTGGTAAAATTAATTTTATAATACTCAATAATAATGTCAAATAGAGTCTCAATCAAAGTCATACATGATGCATACCATTACTAAATCTCATTAGATACGTAGTCAATGACTACCTCATAAATCTTGATAATACACGAAAAACCGATGAAGCCAAAACAAGTTATGCATGGTTACATAAGACATAAAAAACTTGAAAATCATTATTCATTAAAATCGTCTTATGTCTAACTCCCACGAAAGACACATATCTGAATGTTTACCAAATAAAAGAAATATAGAAAAATATTCTACCCTTTCTGGAAGAATAGTCAATAATATCATCTTAGTTTTTGATTGCAGTTAAAATGACCATTTTTTAAAATTTTTAGTCAAAAAAGTTACCTAAAGTACATTATTATAATTTATAACGAACCCTCGGCAAATGGTCCAATAGTAAAAAAGCTATCGCGGTCCCTTACCGAACGGGCATAAAAAATAATAAGTAATAACTAATAATAAAAAAACTAGTATGTACCTTCTCAGCTTCCGAATCGAAGCTATTATATTTTAAATAGGATTTTTACAAGGAGGCCATTAGGACTTTATTTTAGCCAAAAAACCCATTTAAATTAAAGTGATATCAATTTATGCACTAAAAAACACTAACCTAATGTGCAACTAAATAAATTATTCTGTAAAAAAAACTATTTTAAATAGAATTTTAATGGACCTGTTTTAAACTGGTTTTAAGTATCTAATATTTGTTTGTTATAATAGATAATACATATACGTATAATAAATATGTAAAAAATATGTATTTACATTTTGTTTAAAACCAGGCCCTGATTTAGACATTTTGAACCACGAGGCAAAATATCTTATTGGGATTTGGGGGGCCTTCAACATCGTCCAAATTAACCATAAATAAGACATGAGCCTTATGTAATAATAATGATATTTTTCACACGACTAGTAATATTAATAGAGGTAGTCTTCTAACTATCTAACATTTAAAGTTTTTTTAATGATTTATGGTTTATGATTTATTTAAATTTTTTTAATTCAGGTGTTCCCAATTAATTTGTTTATTGGTAGTTTTATTTTCTGTTATTGTTTACATCTACTTATAGCAAACTGAACCTTCGGGCGTTCATTAAATAAATAAAAATAAAAAATATATTTATTTATTATTTTGTAAATTGAAATTATTATTAATATTGTTATAATTACAGGTAATATTTAAGTTTACAGGTAATCATAAAAAATGATTTTCTTATGTACCTATTGTTAGGTATACCAAAATTAAAACTGCAACTAGAATATATTGAACAATTTATTTTTAAAAACAAATTCTTAAATTAATTAAGAATATAATTAACTCTTCTTAATTTACTCATTAGTTTATTACGTGAATAATTTGTTCTAACAATATTTACTGTAAATAGTATGTATTTGAAGCGAGGTATTTTTATTTAGAGGCTATAGACACGTAAGTCATAAGCCTATCTTGCTTAATGCGAAAAATGACACGTTTAAAAGCAAACTAAATTTTTAGTACGCATAGGTAAATTCTAGAAATGCATAGCACTCGACAGGTATAGTTATTCTTATTCGTAATAGTTGAGCACTGGAGTGTAAATAAGTAGATGCTGAATAAAAAGAGAAAGTAGGTACATGGACAATTATCTTTTAAAAAGAGTCGAAAAATAACGACAGCATTATATTATTAGAATTTGATTCTCGGCCTGGCAGCTAATTTTTGTATTTATTTGCTATATCTTTAACAATATGTATAATTATTATACATATTATTTATTAAGCATAAGAAAAACAAAAATAAAAGTCTGTAAAACAGATCTATTCTTGTGGTTTATGAGAATCTACTTAGAAAAACATTTTATATTGTAATGAAACCTGTAAACACCAAAATGAACGCATTATTTTAGCATAAATACAAATTCTGTAGTACAAAATATATTGTAGTACTATAATCCAAATTTAAAATCATTGTTTGATTTATACATACTTCGATAGTTAAGGACCACGATGGTTTTGTTAGTATTATATCATTAGAAAGTAAAATAATGATGTTTGTGTAAGCTACGAATGTGTATTTTAGCAGTAATATAGTCCTATCGACACTGCGGTTCCACTAATGTTTTTTTATTGGCTATTTGATCATTTTAATTCTAATTACATAGAAAATAGCGTTGATATTTTGTGTCGCCATCTTCGCTTAAAACACCGACATAGACGAAGTAAAAAAAAAATATACACATAAGTTGGCTAAATTATTAATAATAGGTAATAATAACTCATTTTTCGGTTTATGATATTTTGCTACCATAGTATACTATTGTGCATTAATGTTATAATTAACCAACTAATTAATATGTAAAACATACGTTGTACTAAAATAAATGTTCAACTGTGCTCATTAAAAATTGTAAAGGTATTATTCAATTGTAGATATTTTTACCTACAATTTATATTTAATGTTCTAAACATTGCATTCAGTGATTTCTCATGCCTGAATATTATTTTAAACATATTTCTTAAATAGTTTATGTGTAATGTATAAATTAATATTCATACGATAACATTGCATTAAATATACATTTTTTGTTTAAAGTTTGTAAAACTACTTTTAATCAATAACACTAATTATTATCTAATGGAACTTTGATTTAATTATTATTAAAACCGTGTTTTGTAAATATAAATATTTGGAATATAGTCTAAACCAGAGTCAAAATCAGCACAGAAGAAGTTAGTAACGTTGGTTCATACCAATTATTAAATCTAAATTTGATTTTATCACAATCAAACACTTAAATGCGAATCTGTAATTAGTAAGAATCCACCACAGTCCAGACCAAACACAGTCCAAACCATCCCAGTAAGAAAAAACCAAAATGAGGTCCAGTATCTACAGGTTCGCATCGAAGCGTTTTCGAATTGATCCGACCGTTTTCCGCGGAGTTATAGCAAATCAAAGTTGACAGTTGAAAAGCCGGTCAATTTTTTCACGGTTTTAAGGATAAAGGAGTTGACTTTTTCTACTTGTGACCCGCCAAAGTACAATCTGCCTATGTTTTCGGATCTATAGAGGTGCTACTCGAGTAAAGCGGTCCACAGGCAAAAAAAATATCGTGACTTCAGACACAATAAAAACACATAATTATAAATCCAAAACCTTTTCAGCTATCGAATTGAAAGTAAAATGTTGGTCTAGGTTAGGTACAATACTCGGCTATAAAAATCAATAAAATATAACGCATATTATGTTGACAGCTTAATTTATACCAAATCGAAATCATACGTTATTTACTCGATCAGCATTTATAATTTTATAAACTATTCAAATCGGCTGCGTTAGCGGTTTCTATTTATTTGAATATGCATAATAAACATTTATATCATTATATCGTTATTGCGTGATGGCTATGGCCATACAACCTGAACAATAATTACAATAGTAACTCATATATATGTATATAGTAATTATAATATATGTATTTATAATTTGTAAAATATTTTTAAAAAAAATACAAATTATACGAGTAAATTAAATTTTTGGAATTGAATAATAAGTGAACGTGTACAATCATAAGATTTTATATTAATTAAATAAATACTAACATTTATTTTCAACCTATTTTTTTCCAGTGTTGTATTGAACTGCCGTATGCGTTTTGCCATATACCTACCACCTGATGTAGAAGGCCCTTCCCCAGTTTTGTATCATTTAAGCGGAATGCAATGTAATGAAAAGACTTTTATTCAAAAGACTGGCTATCAACGATGGGCCTCCCAATACGGGATAATCGTAGTCACACCAGACGTGTGTCCCAGTAAGTACACTACTGAATGCACCACATAATTAATGACAACTTCCCGCCATATACTGATAATATTATTTATAGTTTGCGGTTGTCGACAGTGGATAAATAGTAAATTAATTACCTGCCGTAATTTTAGGGGTGACGGTTGCTGACGAAAATCACCCCATCCACGCCAAAGGATTATCGTTCTATGTTGATGCCACTAATGAACCGTGGAGTAAACACTATAAGATGTATTCGTATGTTAACGAAGAGTTACCGAAAATTGTCGAAGACAATTTTGACGTTAAAAAGAACAGACAGTCAATAATGGGACACAGGTACTAAACCTCAATATATCGTTTTAAAAAAAATCAAAATTACAAATGCCATAAGATCTGATTGCACATCCATAGTACCTCAAACACTTAAATAGTTAAACATTTTAGTTTTGAATTATACTTTAAACTCGGTTATTTTACTATAAATTACCACGATAATAATACTAGTTTATAACTCGGATCTAGAGTGCTCAATGTAAGTGAAAAACTGACGTCATTTTATTGAACATTTGATGCATATAATATTATGCACATTACATATGCTTCAATAGGATAGGTATGTGTCAACTAATAACGCTAAAACGGTTGCGCACCGATTTTGATGTGAATTGTTAGTTGTTACTTGTTTCACATTTGTAGTTTAAACATAGGAATTTGCTTTGCCTTTAGAATATCTTAATTTGATATAATTCACCCCTTAAATTCTGTTTTATTTTTAACCTTACGATTTAAAAGACTACCGTTATTTTTGTCACAAAGGCAAAATTGTAGACCATGATGATATTCCCTATAGAAATATGTATATTTTTAAAATTAAACAAAGAAATGTACGAAATAAAAATTAAGATAATCGTAAAAACTAACATTCATTACAACTGTGGTCCATGATTTAAGTGGTTTTATTAAGTGGACACCTTATCTAAACAAGTATATTTAATATTCGTGGACATTTATGCTCGTCTTATTTTTTTATTTCATACATTTCTTATGAATATTACTTTTATAATACAAAATGATTACGTTTTTCGACTCTCGTAGGATAATAAAAAAATAAGTCTTGACTTCATGAGTAAATGATAATTATAATAATTTAATTATTAATTATTAACTACCCATTAATTATTATAAAAAATGTAATAATTAAGCTAAAGGTTTTACTAACTTATTAAGATTATTTATTGATAATACGTATTTATATTACCCTTTACTGTACCTACTTGTTCTGTATCTTTGTAGGTACGTCATACTTATTTTTAATTTTAGTAACTCACTCGAACTCGCTTAAAACCCGTTTTCCTTGATACTCAGTTAACCAATCTAATTTATACTAACAACAATGTAACGTTTTTCGTTATGTTAAAAAACATAAATATAATCCACGAACTATTTTGTCGTCAGACTGCTAACACCACAGGGCACATATATTTAGGGAAAAATCCCTAAATTATCAATAAAACACCGACATTTGTTTAACATAACACACTCATTTGTTCAGATAATTACGATTTCCCATTTCGAGAAGCTTTACATAAAAATTTATATATTTCTGGGTTCATGATTATAAATTATTTTATATGTACTCAAATAAGTATTTATTTGTATTATTTAACTAAATACAAGTATTTTGATATACGTTTTCCTTCATAATATATCTATTTATTGCGTGTACTTCTAAATAATCACAATTTTTTTTCCTTTTCTATACAGTATGGGTGGCCACGGTGCTTTAATAAGTGCTTTAAAAAATCCAGGCAAGTATTGCTCAGTATCGGCATTTGCTCCGGTCTCTAACCCGTCACAAGTGAAAGCTATTAATGACTTACTAAAGTGTTACTTTGGAGATGATCAAGAAATTTTGAAACAGTGGGACGCCACGTGTTTAGTTTCCATCTACGAAGGGCCAGAATTGAATATACTTATTCACCAAGTAAGTTGAATAAAATCATATTAGGCATTAATTTGAGTGCACGTGTATTGATACAACACCGTCTTTCTTTTTGTGCAGGGAACTAAAGATGAGCATGAAGAGAACCTCATGTTGGGCAATTTTGCCGAAGCCTGTAAAAAAGCCGGAATTACCGCTTCTATTAACTTTGAAGAGGGGTACAGCCACGGAGCTTATTTCATTTCATCATTTGTTGAACAACACTTTCACCATCATTCTAAGTTTTTATTAGACTCGTGATTGAGCCTATTTAGGTGACTGTAGGGGAATATCTAATAGGTAATTTTGTTTTTTGTCAATAATGAGCACTTAGATAAGTACAACATACCAATAATAGTTTTTGATCTTCCCCTTATCCTATATTAATAATATGGTAAGGTTGTCCTAATTTTTTTCTCAACACTATTCAAACTTTATAAAATATGTCTTGGTAATTTGTAAAAAACTACATTTGAAATCTCTTAAGCAATCTTAATTAGTATCAGTTTCTATAAAAGTGACTACACATTTATCAGTCATTTATTTTTAAGTTTATAATGTCTGTATTTCTGTCAATGGTCATACTTACATTTATGGTTAAAGCATTAAAATAAATCAATTTTTAAATTTGAAAATATAATTTTCATAACTACCTTATCTGCTAATCAAAAAATAGGAATTGTAATTAAATTAAAACAGTTTTTGGTGTTACAAGTTACAAGACACATTTTACACAATTTAAATTCTTAAATCAAAAAATATTTTTTGTTTCAGAGGCGAGCAGTTACACACGACTAAGTAGCAGTTGGAACTCCAACTGGGTTTGAAGATTGGTCAATTGTAATGCATAATATTATTCTACAATTAAAATTTGAAAGTTTTTACTTTAAAATGCATTTATTATTGATTATTATATTCCATAGCAATTTTTAGTACATTAAGATTATGTACTTTTAATTAAGACCAAAATTAGTTGAATATTTTTCAATATAAAATCATTTTTTCAAATAATATATATTTTTTTCATCATCATGTAGCTTAACGGGCCATGAAGGCCCAACGCTGCCATCATGAGATGGTTTCTTGACAAATTCGCTTCCGGGACGGGTCGTTAAACCCGTTGCCGGAGAGGGGGATGGCAGTTGCTTTTCACCGGATGATTGCTCGCCCAGCAAACGGAGTGCCTGTGACCAAGTGTCGAACCGGCGACAGTGAGCGCTAACACTGCCGCCTTACACACTCGGCCACTCCTCCTTTTTATCCTTATCATATTTTTTTAACTAATTTTAATTGTAAAATATTTTTAATGAGCTGTGATTTATTTTACGAACAGAAATTTATCAAAACACAAGATAATTCAACATCAATTAGGTTTTTCCTTTACAAAATCAAAAACTATAGAATATTAATACTATTTAAAAAACAGGGTAGCAAATTACAAATGATTTTTATTTTATTTACTATACTTTTAGATAAAATGTATAGCATAAGCAAGTATGTTAAAATAAAAATAATGCTTATGTGAATTATGAAGAAAACAACATTATTAAAACTTAACTTTTTAAGTACTACTCTTAGGTTTGAGGTCCTCAAAACATGGCTTCAAGAATATTTGAGGTTTTTTTGCTGGATTGTTATACTCATGCCCCTATAATGAAACATAACAATACAAATTTTTAAATTACATGATTAATCGTACATAATAACATTGTAATTTTTAGGTTAATATATTATATCTAAGCTCCATATAATATAGTTAATATTATGTATTTTATACAGAATCAACCAGAAAACTGGATGGTTTTAACTACAATAACACAAAATAGTTTCTAAAAATAAAAACAAAAGAATAGATAACATTTACAACAATAAAGAATGTGAATGAAATTTAGAATTTAGGTGTGGCTAAAAACCAAGGGTCTTAGCATAGCATATGAGGGCAAAATCATTTTTTTTTTTTTAAACAGCTTAAATCTATTTTTTTAAATGGACTTAGTATTATAAAATGTATCAATGATAAAACTATAATTGTGCTTACCTTTGACCAATCATAACCAGTACTATATGCAAATATTTGTCCATTGCTATTAAAACAACATTTAGTTATTGGTTGATCAAGAGTCTCTGACGACTTCAGTTTTGTACGGGCGTCTTTATCCCAAAAAGCAAATGTAGCATCTGAACCTACAGTTGCTAATGTACCATGTATTGGATGAAACTTAATATCATTTACCTAAATATATATTAAACATTAGTATCAAAGTTAAAAAATGCTCTAAATTATAAAAAATAATATTACAAACCGCATATATGTCTTGAACATTCATAGTACCCTGACTATTTTGTCGGTGACATTTGAACGTAAAATTATCTTTAGTGCTTTGAGGTTGTATATAATGGATAGCTACACGTCCTTCAACACTTCCCAAACCAAAACCTAATTCAAGTATTATCACTTAGTCAAATGAAATTGTTTTTCAAAAATGATAATGTTAAACTAACCAGTAGGAGATTGTTTCTTCTTATCTCTAAAAATTGCAACACAACGGTGTTGATATTTTAGAGGTGAGTCTACAGTCTTTACCATTTCCGGTTTACCTTCAAGTTTGTAGACAACAATACCCCTCGAGGCAGTACCAATAACTGCCATAGGATAATCCTAAAAATTAAATTGACATTGAATATCAATAATGAAATTATTGTTATTTAAAATGTATACTCACCACATCTGCACAGTAGGCTCTTTCAGGTAAATTAATGGTCATCATTGGATTTGAACTTCTTACATCCCAAAACTTTTAAACAAGATTTTTAGTGAATATTAAAATAAAAATAAATTATAAGAACAATTATTAAAATATTATGTTTTAAAATATATTAAAATTTAAATTATTAAGAAAATAAATTTGAACAAATTTTAAAATTTTCAGTTAAAGAAGTAATATATAGTTTAGTACCATAAAAGTATACATTTTTAAAATGTTAAAATTATGAAATCAGGATTTATCAGTTGAGTTACTTATTATCTATAAATGTACAATAATGTATCTTTAATATGTATGTATCTACCTTTAATGTTTTGTCCCATGATCCTGTCATTAGACAAGTGTAAGATGGAGCTTTTATCCAATGACATGTTTTAACAGGTGCATCATGAGCTGCTACTTGCATAGTCTGATTACTTGCTAAATCCCAACATTTTACTTGTTTGTCACATGACGCCATAAAAACCTTTGTACCATCATCACTCCAACAAGTATCTAAAATAGGTCCAGACATAGACTGCATTGATTTAGGTACTGTTTTACCACTTTGTTCTACCTCCCAACATCGTACCTAAAATAAAATATCTACAGCAATAAAAATTAAGATATTAACAGGTTATTAGCCTTACACTGTTATCCCAACTGCCAGCTATCAGGAAATTTTGTTGCATCGTAGCAGGACTAAATTCCAAAGACGAAATGGAATCATCGGGTGGCTGTGTTACCTCAAAGTCCTTGTTAGGATTCGTTGGTTTGTTAAAAATACTGCTACTCATCATATCTAAAACCGTATGTATTTAAATTATAGACACAGTTCATAATACACAAATGTGTATACCTACTACCATAAAAAAAACTCTATAAGACTGACTTACCTGCAAACCTATATCAATACTGTAGAGCAAAGCTAGATTTCGTTACGAAAGAAATATAGTTCTTTCTACAAAATACTTTTATTTAAAAGAACGTGAACTAAATAGTAATACTTATAGTTCTAATTTTTTATTATTTGCATCTATTAGTTATAGCCTATAGGTACTTCTTCGCTTTCGACTTTCGATCGTCGGCGGTTACCTTATCAGGATTTATCATTTATGTTTGCATGTTTTTTAGTGGGTTAAACGATGAAGCACATTTTTTCGTAAACATGTGTGGTTACAAGTAAACCGCCAAAGTGGTATCATTATTGATAACGCTTTCATGCGGCTTCAGTAATAATTTCTGATAATGGCTTTGAGCCATTGCCATGATCTATGGTTTTTAAATCTGAAAAGAATTTATAGTTAAAACTTTTGACAATAACTTTAGTACGAATTACTTATTAAGATTTGTGTTGCAATATGTAAAATTAAAAAAATATATAATACTAAAAAAAGTATATTTGGTATCAAACACTTATTTTTCAGTAAAGTTTTGCAGTCATGAGTTGTTTCTTAAGCAAGTTTTGCAAGTATGATAACTATTTCAGTTTAATATAAATTATAAATTCCGGTTTTCAGTGAATATTGATTATTTTCTAATAATATTATAGGAGTATGATAACAACTATAGGCGTGATCAGAGTTGAATTTCATGTTCATTATAAATGTCTACTTGCCAAAGACCTAAACAGCCTATTAAAATTTAAATTTGGTTTTCTTGTATAAATATATTACTTTGCTAATATATTGGGGTGTTCCTATATGCTAGATTATTGCATTGTTCCTTTCTATTCTAGATTGTATTTAAGTCAATAATATTACAAATAATTATAGTCTGAGATAAGTGGAGATGCTTAAACAAACAACATATTTCATAAAGATCAATTCTTTTCATTCATGTTGTTTTTAAAGTGTAAGCAAATTTGAAATATTTAGGATAACTGAGCCACTGTTAAATTGTGTCTACGATTATTTTTTAAATTCAATTTTAAGATTTAGTTTTTCGTAATATTAATTATCTAATATGTAAATTATTGTGTTCTAGTCATCGATCTTTGGGTCTTTTAAATAAATTACCAAGTCATACTGTACGCACTTCCTTAGGCAATCGTATCTATTTTCATAGAAGAAAAATTCAAGAATCCTCAAATCTGTTTTATCCTACATTATTTACACTATCAGTAAGTTGTACCATATAATATATTTGTGAATACAATTAAAAAAAAAATAAGAGTATTACACATTTTAACTTTCATGTTTATCAAATGTTATAATTACTTACTTTCTACCATATGTGGCTCTTGCGTTATTTTATTTTTGTATTCAAGTATTGCATACTAAGTGCATTTAAAACAAAATTGTATAAAAACCTTATTCTATTAAAATCATAAACTAATATAAATTAAAATCTAGTCATGTTTATTATAAACAATAATATTAAAAAAAAAATTCTCATTGTTTTTAAAGATTTATATTTTATTTATTTTAGGTTAGTTCAGGTGCGATAGTTATAGCATCAATTTGTGAGTATGAGCGACATGCTAGTGCAGGCTTCAAGTTCAATGGAATAAAAGAATTTGTTAAACACTCTTCGTATAAAACATCAAATTGGGTAAAACATTTTAAATTATTTAATTTTCATATGTGCACAGTGGGCAGGAACCACAATAAAAGTGGCCAAAATTTAAAACAAACTGGTAATTCATAATATTATTTTTTTTAAATGTCTACTGTAGACTATTTTCTACATTCTAACGAGAGCACGAGCTATAGGGGGGTATCGAAGGGTATGACACCCATCCATTTGGCAAATTCAAGTATACTCTGCTGGCACATTAAAATAAAAAATAATAAATTGGCAAATAAAACTCCCTGAAACTTGTATAAATAACATTACATTTATAGAAGTAGGTATGCATGTTTGATTGGCTATTACATATCTGGTGACTGAATAGTCTGCATATGAGTGAGTAATGAACGACCAAAGGAAAAGACAGGCGAACATATAATTTGTTTTATAATAATACAGTATCAAAAACTTTGCATTTAGTAATATATTCGTTATTGACTCACTTAATATTCATTATCGTCATGAATGTTATTACTAGATATTACTAAATGTTTATTAAGGGCTGGATTTGGACATTATCATTACTTTTTAACTAAAACAAATGTTTTTAAAGTAAAATATGTTTTTCTAAAATTGTGTAACTTACAGATTTCAAAACTTATGTTCAACTAAAATATATTATTAAAAAAATATAATTTCGGCCATTTTAACGTGGTATCTACCCATAAGTCACAACAAAAACTACAATCATTATAATTTTTTTATCAAACATTTTTCACTCTAATTTGTACAAACTTTCAAAATTGTTTTATATTCTATTACATATTTTTATTTATTTAACACTAAAATATTTGTTTTACAGACAGGACTAAATCGACTGTGGGATGATTTGAAAGTTTCAGAAAAATTGTTTGCTGCAATATTGTCTTTGAATGTTCTTGTGTTTTTAGCATGGCAAATACCTAGTTATCATCCGATTTTGTATAAATATTTTACGACTAATGCTCTTGCCAGTATGTTTATTTAATTTATTTGCAAGTACAGTAAGCTTATGACAGTTAAATAATTTGTTATTATGTTTATAGGAAAAATTCCTGTATCTTCACTTCTATTAAGTGCTTTTAGCCATGAATCTCCAGTACATTTATTTTTTAATATGGTTGCTCTACATTCTTTTTGCTGTGGTAAAGTTATAGTGACATTACTATTACTTTTTAATACTAATATATAATTATATTATATAGGTGTCATCCAACCTTGGGGTTCAATGTCTCCTGAAGAATTTACTGCCATGTACTTGGGTAGTTGTGTTGTGTCATCATTAACTAGTATTATTTACCGAAGAAGTTTTGGCTTGGTAGGACATAGTTTGGGTGCTGTAAGTGTTATTTGATTTTATAGAAATAATTTTGAAACAATATTTTAAGTACCTTAATCTTCATTAATAACTGAATAGTAACATAAATGATATCCAATTTTAGTCTGGAGCTATTCTATCCGTCGTCGCATATTTTGCTGTAACTCATCCTTATCAGAAATTAAGTATTATCTTCATACCTGGTATTGAATTTGATGCTATTAAAGTGAGTAATAAAATTTACTTCTCATATTACATTATTATTATCATACAGTTAATTAATATTAGACATTTGATATTATACATTTTGATGATTACATTTTATAAAAAAAAGTTAAATATTGATTAAATTTGAAACCTTTTGATGTCATAAGAATTATTTTAATTTATAGGGATTAGGTGGTTTGATGACTTTGGACAGTCTTGGATTGATATTTAAATGGCAGACGTTTGATCATGCCGCTCATCTTGGAGGTGCCATGTTTGGAATGTAACAAAATCATCAATAGAAAAAATAAAAAATACTCTGGATATTAATTTTTTTTGTTTTTATTATGTTACAGTTTATGGCACAAGTGGGTATCGAAAAATATATGGGAAAATAAAAAATATATAGTGAAAAAGTGGATACAGCTAAAAATGATTACAAAAAAGTTTCTGGGTGGCCAAAGATAGTCCATTGTTATTTTGTTATAACTATACATTGTTATTTTTTATTTTATTATAGTACATGTGCATAAATATTATTCGCTCATTTATTGATAGTAAATATTTTAAAACTTAAAATATATTATCATCACCATACTTATTTTTACACCATGATTAATAAAAGAAATTGTAACATTTATGAGTCAATATCTAAAAATGTATAATTGGTCCTAGGTATGTTTTTAACATATTCTATATTTTCCATTACAACAGTTACTTGGTTACCTATTTTTGTATTAAATAAACTATTATCAAAATGATAAATTGTAAATATTACATTTTTTAAATTTATAAGTGTAATTAGTTTTAAATTGAAAAATAACCAAAATATGTGGCCGAGCGTTACTCAAATACGCAAAGCTTATGAAGCTCGACGTTCCTTCACACGAAGACCACCCAAATATAAAAATGTAAACCAGACTTCTTTGATAAATAATCTGATATTAACACTGCTTGTAAGTATTTAAACATAATTATTATCTATTTTATTTCATAAAATAATATGTTTATTATCTACTTATAGAGTTATTAAATATCTTACAATTTTTTTCTTCTTTACTGTAAAAGTAAAGCTTAGAGTTGTAAAAATTAGTTTTTTCATTATTTTTGAAATTAGAAATCATGCACGCTATATAAATTCACCATTTAGCCTTTTTCTTGAATTAGGTCTAACCAGTTACCAATTGCATATAAAAGTGCATTGATCCCCTACCTTAATAAAATTATGTGTAACCCTTGTAATCCCAATAGCGACATAGATTACTACAGACTATTAATTAGATTATGTTTATGTAGGATAGATAAATAGATGAGTGTAAGTAGGTATGTTAAATTTAAATTTGCCTATAAAGGCACATTATAAAACTTCGAGTTCATCACGTCAACGCCTAACTCTATTAATTAGAACTGATGTATCTACCTATTTCAGGCAAGTTCGACAGTCTTGGCTATTGCGTCTATAATTGAACACGAACGACAACCGAAATTCAACTGGAATAATTGGACCAACTCAGACTTTGTCATAAATGTCGTTAAGTAGCATTGTAACATAATATATACAGTACCTATTCATTTTAATTATGAGTTACGATTTTTCAGTACCTTAGTAAACATTAGGTTATTCTTATAAACATAAAAAAACCCAAAAAAGATGGGTAATCCGAAATGAAAAAATATTAATGTAAAAATAAATAGTTGTTTTATGTGGTACCTATATAGCTAAGAATTCGTTATTGTAACGGAACCTAATTTTATTTCAGCGTTTAAAACTTGAATTGATTTTTCAGGTAAGACATTTATATAAAGTCGTCGAAGTTGTAGTATGGAAAAAATCTAGTCCCGGAGAAACAGCATTTGCTGTCATAACAATAATACACATTGCTGTTTATTTTGTCCAAAATGTATTTCAGTGGAAACTAGGTATACATTGGAATTATTTTTTCTGTATAATATTTTAAAAATATATAAAGGAGAAAAATTTACTGTTTTGAATAATAATTGATATACTTCTTACACACTATTTACATATCTTGTGGTTGATCCTACTTGAAATAGATTGACTGGTCTGTCAACTTCGAACCACAGCCCTGATGATGGAATGTGCAAGTATTCCGAAACGTTGACAGATCAGTACATCTATACAAGTGGAAGTAACTGCAACATATGTAAATAGAGTAAATACAATACCCCATTCAAGCTTCAGTAATTTTGTATATATCATAGACTAAACATGTATTATTTATGGTAAGTGACCTATACACAGATTAAGTACTAAATACTACGGTACCAGTGGCGTATTAAAAGGGTACAAGGTGAGCTTATTTTTTACCAAAATAAATATATATTTTGACAATTAATGTATGCGCACAATTGTTAAAGTCTAGCCTTACCATAAAATATATTGATTTCATGCAAAACCCTAATTATTAAGATAGGTCACATCAAATGTCAACACTTATACATTAGGTCTGACTTAAACTTTCGGTGAGAATACTTTTCGGTCACAGCTCACAAGAAATTTGATTTTAATTTTTGTCCAGTTAGAGTAATATATGAATTTTGACATGAATTTTATCCGTTTCTTGATTATTAATGTATAATTTATTATTAGGAAGTTCAAAATCAGCGTCGTGGATCTTGTTGAGCTCGTTTAGTCATGAATCTTTAAATGACTTAATAATTGCAACAGTCTACTTATACCAGATATTATGTGTAACCAGTAAGTTCTAGATTTATATAATATGTGTGTATAATATTATCTCAGACTTATAAGTTATGACCTAGGTACCATTCAAAATATAAATTATATATTACGTTAAATTGAGATATGCTACTAGACGATTTTTAAATTTTGCATTAACTTTGTTTTTTACTATTCAGGCGTTTTATTATTAATTATAATTCCTTATGTAGCATGTATATTAATTATAGTTATGTTAATAATTTATTATTATGTTGTACTTCAGTAAGAATCTGAGAACCTAGAGTAATCAGTTCATACTTCGTATTTTATCTTAGTTATTTAGTGGTATTTTTATATTATTAAATACAGAGTGATTCCTTAAGGATAAGACACTAAGTTTTCCCTAAAATAATTGCAATTTTGTTTTTTCTTATGTAAACCATTTTATTTATGTTATTTTACAACATTATAAAATTACTAAGTATAAAATATTTACTTTTGATAGTATTTTCCAGAGCTTTATCAATGTTTGACACCTAAATGGTGTCGTATAAATTTAAAAACTTATTGAATTATAATTAATATGTTAAACATTTAGATTAGCTGATAACCAATTTTAAATAATTACATTTAAAATTATAAAAAATGTTTAAAATTTACGGAAGGAAGTGGAGTATTATTTTCATCTGTGCTCATTATTCAACTATACTCCACCACCCGTCCTAAATTTTAAATTTCAGTAGGTAAATTTAAAAGTAAGTAATTATACAAAAGTGGATATCGACTAGACAACTTTTTCAGCAATATATACATTAAGTTATATGTTGCATTACATTAATACGTTCCAATTTAAGTTATACATGTTAATAGAGCTCTAAAATTTTGAATATTGTAAAATAACATACTTAAGTGTTTCTTAAAGTAAAAACTACAAAACAGCATTTATATAGTAATCAGGAGAGAAATTGAGTGTTCTATCTATTAATGAATCATACTGTATAGGAAGTAGGAACGTAGATACCACAATCACATTATGTTGAAGAATTTGAATTTTTAATTATCTATAAAAGAATATTAAAAATCTATATATTATTTATTATACAGAAAAACAATTTCAAATTAATTTTTATTCTAACTATAAATGAAAAAAAAATTGAATGTCATAACTTGTATAGAAGCTATTCACTCATGGCCTCTATCAGAATCACAGTCTTACATGGGAATGGAAGAGTTTTTCGTTCTTTATTTTATCGCGTGTTTGGTAACGGCTTTTTCTAGAAGGAGCTTTCATCAAAAATCGTACGTGTTAGACGATAAACGAGGATCAGTAAGTAACTAGTTAAACAATTTAGTACATATCTAGGTATTTTAATTCTTATCTTTACAATTATAAATAAATTGTTTATTTCAATTAGAACAATATTTTTTTCTCGTTTTAAATAATTATTTTTAAGGAGTGTTAGGCGTTAGCACCTTCCTTTTATTAAACAAACAGTTCAATTATTATTAAAGTGTAATATGTTTTAAGTAAACATATTATATTAAATACAGGTGGTTTTTTGTAAACACTGTATTTTTTGTATTCCAAGGTTAGAAATTGGAATATGTATAATACCTAACCTAACGTGGTAAAATTAAATAATTTTAAGTGTGGAGCGATTTCAGCGGTGTTTGGTTACATAGCATGGACTTCGCCAGATCAACAGTTTATTAAAGCGCCAATCATTGCTAACGTTGTCAATATAAACGCATTTAAGGTACTTTATTATGTTATGTAATAATATGTGAGGCGGAAAGAGAAATTGGTCAGGGTTGGAAAGATGTTAAAAAAAAATTAAATTATCTGCTTAAGGGCATTTAATTTTAATTATTGGTTAAGTTTCATTCCTTAAGTGTATAAAATAAAATTTGAAAACTTTAAAGGGTTTTTTCTAAAAAAAAAAACGATTTTTCGAAAATAAATTTAAACAATTATAGCTTGGCAAACTTTCAAGATAGGAGAACGATTTTGGTCCCAAAATATTCAGAATTAAAAATAACCAATAACTTAAAATTTGATTTTTGCGACAAGGAATCCTTTTCTTTCTCTGGCATATCTAATTTATACTAATTTTACTTTTTTCCATTCGCTTAGGTTTTTTGTTTGCTCATTGCGCTTAGTGTGATAGGGATGAAATGGAAATGGTCACGAACAGACTCGGTTAATTGTGCTGCGGGTTATCTCTTTGGAATGTAAGTACTTCAGTAATTCATTTTTAAAATAATAAAATTAGTTACTTACTTTTTTTTTTGTTGATAAAATAGATAATTTAATTTTAAATGTATTTGGTTTTTTTCAATTATTACAGCTTTTGGTGCGTGTTCGGATCAGTGCATATATGGGGGAACAGAGAATGCTTAGTTAACAAATGGATTATCATAAAAGATATATTATATTCTATTAATTTATAATAATATGATGTATTTCTTAAAGCAATGTTTCTATGTTTGGTTATTTATACAATTAAATTTGAAATAAATAAATGTTACTGAAATTGTTAAGTTCACTTAAAATATTTTCTAAATTACGTCACTGAGTTGTTTAAATCAGTCTTAACTCTTAACAATATTACCATATTATAATATATAATTTATTATAATAATATGATCATTAAAAATATTTTATAATTTGGCGGTAAAATATTGTAACCAATGAAATTATGCGAATTATAACGGGCGTTAAGTGGGGATATTATGTATTAAGAAGCACGTGCATGTTATCAGTAGCCATCATTATTATGATGATACAAGGACGTTGTATAATACGCCTACCAACACAGAATACCAGCTATATAACCAATATTTAATGGTATATTTTGCCAGTTAGTTTATCGCAAGATAATAGTCACAATTCACATTTCACAAATGACAAATCACAAGTAGTAAATAAATGAAGTAGTGTGCTGTATGAAATGTGAATGTTTTATAAGCGATCTCATGAGTGGTAATTTGAAAAATTTCCATAACAAAAAACTGTTAATACTTTTAATGGTTTTCTTATTGTTTCATTAACGCATCAACATTGTTGATTTACATTTCATTAAAAACAAATTTCGGTTTTTCTGAAAGGACTCACAAAGCCGGCAATCAATTGCCTTCTGAGTTCTGTGTACCGCTTATCGTAAGTATTTGTATACGGTATAGTATATTGAATCAAAAATAATAATAGAAATTATTAATAAAATAGTTCGTAAGTATTATGTAAGCAACTTTATAGTAAAAATTCAAAACAATCTTTCTACTGTAATAATTGGCGAAATAACTGTTGTGAATTGTGTGTGTAAATTGCTTATTTATTTACTTTGCAAAACTAATCTAGCCACTGTCTGTAGTTTTTACGATTCAAAATCATAAATCCTTTTTTTACTCAATTCAGAAATTTAATAAAGTTTACGTTGTGTATAATACAGTGGTGTAGCTAGGATTTTATTTTGGAGAGGGCTAACCTTTGATTTATCAAAATTTAAAACGGCACATACCTACTGCATACCTAGTAATAGGTCATTACTAGAGCTCGGATGTTAAGGACCAAAAATTCATTCAAATATGCATTTGAAAATACCAAAATATGCAATTATATGCTTTTATTAAAATGTAAAAAAAAAACAGTTTTTGATTAGAACATTATAAATACAATTTTACAAATGTAATTATAATTAATAAAAAACAGTATTTACGTAGCCGACTTGGCTGTCACATTATTAAAAATTACAATATTACATAGGTAGGTTATTTACAAAAAAACTGTTTTTAAATAGTCAGCTTACTAGCATAATATCTTAAATACTATTTTACATAGAAAGCATTCCATTCCAAGTGTTCCCACCTAAAAATTCTAAAGTCAAACCTTTTTCGTGTCCGCCCGTTTTCTTTTAATTTTTACACAAATAAAAAGTGGTCACTTAGTATTCAAAAACAATGAGTTCCTTAGCATTTTTCCGTATTTTACGATTCAAATATTTGCAATTACGTCAAACCATTTTTTACCTAAAAAAAATCAAATAGATCGCATAGCCGAAAATTGCAAAAATATTTTTCAAATTGATTTTTTGAATAAAATACAAGTATACAACATTTACGCGGACTGCTGCAAACAAACTATTTAACTAAATATTAAATGTAAACAAAACTTAAAAGTGGCGGATTTGGCTGTATTTTTTTGTTCAGACAACTTATATACACTTCCCTTACCCTAAAAAATACTTAACATTACTGCTCTACCGATTTATATATAAATATATATATATATTTATTTAAGTATAGCATATACATATATATATATACATAGTAGGCGATCAGCGATGTGACATTAACAATAACAACTGAAATTCTTCTGTTTGTTATTTTGGATCTATATACGGCAGCCCCTCTGTCGCTCGCACAACTGCAGAGACGAAAATATTTGCTGGATAACCATTTCCCACATGCATTATATTTTTAAAAGTTTTATATTATTTATGTTTTTGTGAGTTTGTTTTGTGTACACACACAATGATAGGTAAACTACTCGTCTGCCTTCACCACTGTGCCGATATATAGCCTACATCTCCATCGCGTCGGCCGTATGACCTCATACGTTTAGTTTTCATAATAAATGTTTTTTTTTTTTCAAAATTTCAAATTAAAATAATTGTAAAACAACAAAATATTATAGTTAAAATATAAGAATTTGAATATTATATTTACAAATATGCTACTAAATCTAGATATAGTCAGTATATGCGAATATATGTTCAAAAAATTCAAATATGCAAAATAAGTTTTTAGATGTGAAATCTAGACATTGTGATTCGAATTTGTATCATATTTAAGTATAATTTTGATTGTGCTAAAAAAATATGCATAGTCATAAACATCCAAGCTCTAGTCATTACACTAAGCGTATTTACTGGCTTCTCAACGACGATTGAATTTGTGAGCAATTAAGCATGTTAAAAACTATCTTGGCAAGTGTCAACTACACTAAAGAAATAAAAACTAGTTAACCTGCTCACTTGCCCGTCGGAAAATTATGTTACCATTACACACTACAGGCTACAACTTTACTAGCCATGTTGATTACATACAGCAATTTCACATGCCAGAGAGTACCCTAACGAGCAAGAGCAATAGATTGGTCGTCAACTTTACTTAATGGAATGTACAAGTATTCAACTATTATACTGAATTATATTTTAACTTCTATTACAGAGAGGTAGCCTGATGCAACAAGTGAATTGACGAACGAGTATCTAGTAAATTTACCTGTTATAAAATAACCTAAAATGAGAAACTGTTTAAAATGTTTTTAATCCCACTTGCCGCTTATAGGAATTTTAGTTATTATCATTTTTGTTAAGAAAATAAATGTATTATTATCATAACTTATAACATAATAATTTTTGATCATAACTAAAAATAGTATTTTTGGGTAAATGTTTGACTCATTTTATGTGTTTTATATCATGTCAGAAAATAACAATTTGGTTATCTAACTAGTACCTACAGACTAATATAAAGTATACTTGTTTGGTTTACAGAAATAATTTAAAATGGGAGTCGACACCGATGTTGTTAAAGCACATGTGCGTCCTAGATGTTTTATGGATGTGGCTGTAGATAACATACTTTTAGGACGTATTGTGTTTGAATTATTTGATGATTTTTGCCCGTTAACATGTGAAAACTTTCGTGCATTATGTACTGGAGAAAAAGGATTGGGCAAGAACACAGGTAAACCATTGCATTTTCAAGGCGTCATATTTCACCGTGTTGTGAAGTCTTTTATGGTCCAAACTGGAGATTTTTCGGCTGGAAACGGAACTGGAGGAGAATCGATATTTGGAGGAACATTCCCTGGTATAAATTTTAAAAAAATTAGGTTATTTGTTTTTATTAGATAATTATTGTACATAATTTTTTAGATGAGAACTTTGATCTAAAACATGATCAGCCATTTTTGCTGTCAATGGCTAATCGGGGTCCAGACACTAATGGTTCACAGTTTTTTATGTAAGTAGTTAACAAAGAGTCTGCCAGCAATTGATGAAATCCAGATCCATCTTGTTTTTATTATTATTATAGGTTGGGGTATACATTTTTACCAATATATTTTTATTTTTATTATAGATATATATATATTATCTTACAGATCTTATTTGTAAACATTTATTTAAAATATTAAAACAGAGGTAATAAATATTAGCTCTGTTTAATAATAATAAAAAAAAAAAAACGGTACAGTCAAAGTATGAGGGAATAGTGTTTATAAAGTCTAATAAGTTTTTGGTTTTATATAATATGAAAATATGTTGACGGTGCTCAGTGTATCAGAATAGCCTAATAAAATTTTGGTCGTATGTCATGTTGTTTGTTGTAGAACAACACAGCCAACCCCTCACTTAGATGGGTAAGTACAATCTTGATTGATGATAGTAAACGACTATTCAGTTTTATTATATAATTAACATTTTTCATTAGTGTTCACGTGGTGTTTGGAAGAGTTGTGTCCGGTCAGCCAGTTGTTATGCAGATAGAGGAACTTGGAGTTGACAAAAATTCACGTCCTTTACAAGATGCAAAAGTAGTTAAGTGCGGAGAACTAGTATTGAAATCGAAGATTAAACGTAAGTTAATTTTAGTGACAATTTGATCATTATTTTTAAAGCTCAATGATATTTTTATATTTTAGAAGTGGAAGATCATGCTATTGACAGTGAATCAACTTCAGAATCTGATAACGATAAAAAGCATAGACGAAAAAAGAAAAAGGAAAAAGAATCCAAGAAAAAAGACGGCAAAAAGTACAAAATTACTAAAACTTTATGTAAAATTATTTGGTACACTTAAAAATGTATTTTAATTTTTAGCAGATCAAGCCGAACCAAAGAAGAAAATAGTGAAAACGAAGAATCTGATGGTCAATTGCACCCACTTGCATCCGTCACAAATATTGACCCTGAGGAAATACCTTCTGGGCCACCTAACAGATTTTTGTCACGAGGAGGTCCTTCATCAATGTACCCTGTTAAACCTCAACGAGACTATAATGATAGACAAAAGAAGAAAAATAGAATTCGAGGTGTTACTAAGTCTGGGAGAGTTGTTAAAGGACGCGGAACTCTAAGATTTCGAACTCCTTCTCGTAGTCGATCTAGAAGTTATACACCACCTCATTGGCGTCAAGAACAGAAAAAAATTATTACTTATAATGAATTTGAAGTATGTTTTTTCTTTTAGTAATATTAAAAATTCTTTAAAAATTGATTTTGTGTTAATGTTATAAAAATTAATATTTAGAAATTAGAAATCGAACGCAAAGAAAGAGAAGAAGAGATAAAAAGGCGTGAAGAGGCCAGGAAAAAAAGACACGAAGAAAGAGAAAAGCGTGAAAAAGGAAATGGCGGAGAAACACCACCTGGTACTCCCCCTAAGGTATTATTGTAGTGTAATTTTAATATTAAAATGTAGCTAATTTTAAACAAATTGTTGTAATTTGTAGGAAAATGATAAAGAAGATATTGATATGATGGCTAAGATTGAAGACGTATTTCAAATAATTAGAGACCGCAATGTAAAAAATGACAGGGGAATTTCGTCTTATGACTCTAAAAAGATAGGACAGCGTAATTATGACTCAAAGAAGAAAAACGAACGAGATGAAAAAAATAGATATTCCAATAAAAAAATTGACAAAAGAGAAAATGATAGACGTTCCAGGAGCAGGTCACCGAGACGCAGGTTCGATAATAATTATCGTCGGGATACAGGAGGACCCAGAGCTAACAATAGGTTCCATCAGGATAATAGGTATAATAATAGGCACGGGCAAGGAGGAAACAGAAACCGGTCCAAGGACAGAGAACAAAATAACAGAAAAAGGAAAAATAGTCGTAGATCTAATTCCAGTTCTAGTTCTTCTGAAAATGATAAAAATAAAAACAATTTAAAGAATAAAGACAACTTTAGCTTATCACCTGAAGTCAAAGATTAAAAACATAAAATAACATTGATCACCTCTTGTATAAATTGATATAAATTCAGCACAATCTTGAAAATAAATAAATATTTTAAATTATGTGCCACACCTTTTTATTTTATTTTACCATTTGGTGTTATTTTAATTTTATTTTTTTGGTAATTGTATTATAAGCAATAGACGTTAAAATTTATTAAGTATAATCATTTATATTTATTTATTTGTTCATTTTAAATAGATACAGTATTACCCCTTAGTTCATAAATACAACATCGTGAAATATATTATAGAAAATTATAACTCAAATTTTAACTGTAACTTATTCTCTGTGGTTCAATTTTAAGTATTTTCATGTCATTATTCTTAAATAAATGTAAGCTGCAAAAACTGAAAATAATTGCTGAATAATTTATTTTATAATATTATATTATATCTAGTCTTTAAATATGCATTTAAAAAACACACTACACCCTATTTATCAAGAGGTATATAGTTAAGGAATTTTTTCGAAGTATTTTAACTTCAAACTAAAGTATATTGTAAATGTTTTATTAATAATGATGTATTGTCAGAATTTAATCCTGTGCAATGTGTTTCTTAAAGCCACTACTTGTCTGCACTTCGTACCAAAATACTTGAACTTACTCACCTTCATGCCTTACTTTCTGGTTTTCATGTTTTACTCTTTCTTAAGCTGCATGCTGTTTTTTTTCTACTAATGCCTAGTTGAAGAATAAGGAACAGTGATATTCTAATATTTTTAAGTCTTATAAATAAATTTATATCAAGCTCAATAACTTGAATAATCAAAAAAAAAATTAAACCAATAAATCCAATGATAGAAAACCAAATAATTTAATAGCTAAAACGTTTATTATTTAACTATAATACCTATATTAACCATACACATTTTTAACGTAAGTGATTTTATATAAATTTATTAGAAACCGCATGTTATGAATAATTTTTATCATTTTTCTATGACAGAACTTTGCCTCAACATTTTTATTGAAAATAATTTAATAAATTTAGATATTTATTTGGCGTACATTAAAATGTGTTATGCGTATTTTCCAGTGTAGCCATTACACCACTGGAACTAATTAAATAATGTACTTGTCGTACAGTCGGTTAAATCTGTACTACTTTTTAAATTATTTAGTAGTTAATTTTCTAGTTTATAATTGTTAAGATTAATGTTTCTTTGAAATAAATCTTTAAAAAAAAACTAATTAAATAATACAATTTAAACTATTACATTACAAATTTGACCATTGACCTATTTTACTGCTGATGCAGATTAAAGTGCATTACAACTTTGCATTATTGTAAAAATACATTACATTTATTTTTTGATAAGCTTATTAGTACGGTTTATTTTGCCAATTAGCTTCTACAGTGTAGTGTTATTATTAATTAATAATGTATTTATTATTTTTAACATCTATATGGGGGCTAAAGGCCGATTTTTCAAAACTTATTTATAAGCATTTTTATTTTTACTTCATTATGATTTTTTATAATTCATCTAACTACTTTTTTAATCGCTAAATCAAAAATCGGCTTTTTAGCCCCATGAAAAAAATAGTAAGCTTTGCATAAAAAAAAAAATTGAAATCTGTCCAATAGATACGCCAGAAAATGACTTCTACGAAAGTAATTTTTTATCAAACTCGTCATAACTCGAAGAAAAATAACTTTAAAAGTATTATAATTAGAAAATTGTAATATGTGTTCGCCTTGAAATTAGTAGACATATGAAATCTTGCCTATCCTTTGCCCCTTAATAAATAGCGCTTTCCGTTCGGTTTATTAATTTTTATAAATAAATAAATATTTGTAATTGTGCTATGATGAAATGTGATGATGATTCTAGGGATTTTAAGACAAAAAAAGTAAAGCCTATTTTAAAATTTCGGAGTATTTTTTTTATAAAATATAATTATTTGTATAATACGCTAAACATAAATATTTCAATTTGTTTGTGATTAATTCATATAAGTATAATTATACTTAATTGTAACATAACAATTCAATTAATTATAGTTTATATCAATATTACAGATATAATTTCTCTACTCATTTTACCTAAAAATAGTAAGTTAAGTACTTAAAAATATATGTCTACTAAACAATTTTAGATCTAGATCTAAAGTGTATTCTGGATTAAGGAAATTGTAATGTTTTTTCGATTGGCTTTCAATTGAATTATCGTAGTACTTTTTTAAAATTTATTTATTTACTGTTAAGAGGCTGAAAGTACAGTAATAATAATATAACTGATACATATTACATTTTACAATAATTAACAAATGTTTTTACAATTAGGAATAAAAATAATCAATAAATGTAAGAATAATAACAAAATATTTTAATAATTTTTTTTTTACACAATTGGACTATTTATAACTTTTAATTTTGAAACATGTTAATTAAAATTATGATAAAAAAAATCCACTTTATCATCCAAGACATTACAGGTCATTAATATTCCATTTATTGGTTTATAGTAGCTGTTGTTTTGGCTATGGTGATTAATGGAAATCAAAGAATGACTTCTTAAGTTAAAATTTGGAACGCCTAATCTATTTTGACTTAATAGATCATAGTTATCAATATTAAGGTCATAAATACGTTATATCAAACTATTTTCTTCGATCAACTAGTGTTTGAAGGTTCAATGTTTCAAGCATCTTTTAAACTTCAAGATTGGGACTATTTTCTTATAGACAAGCTACCTCACAAAAATATTTCGTACACTCAATAATGGATATTAAATCTGATTGTGATGGATTTCATAAAACAATGCCATACTCTAGTGTTGAGCGAATTTAAGCACAACTTAAAGTTTTGAGGCAGAATAAATTGAAAATTGAAATCCCAACAATGCCTTAATGAATCTTAACTTGTAGTTAAAATTAATTGAGTATAATGGAGATTAGAAATAAAGGTTTATCATACATTTATTTAATATTAAATTTCAATACTGGTATATTTTATTATGAGAAGATAACAAATAATTTAATAATTATAAATTTAGCATGTAATTATTAAAACATTTATCTATATTTAAACAATTTGTGAAAAAATAGATGAAATCAGTATATGAGCATGTTATGAGGAAATATAGTATTGAAGCCGTAAAGATGGATATAATATGAAAAATAGATATGTGGATGTGTATATGTATGTGATATATGAATGTGGATTATGGACAAATAGACGTAGAATAAGGAGCTAGAGTTAAATGGCCGCATTACACATAAGAATCCGGTTGTTCAAAAAAAATGTTACCACATAAAATTTTACAATTTATGCAAGTCTTATTTTTGGAACTGCTCAATTTATGGTAGTATACTGTCTGATACATATATAGTTATTATATAGTTAAAATGATTATTGTTTAAAAATAGTTTATTATTTTTAAATGTTCACTCATTTTTCTTCTTGTTATTCAACGTTATGTCTTGGCTTAGTTTGACGAGTAAAATGTAATTCATTTTTTATAAATTAGGTAGACAAACCAGTTACATCATTGTTTTAATAATACGAATAAACAATCCTAATAATAAACTAACATAATTTGTGTGTCTAAGAAACTATTTTTTTTTTAATTTTGAGTAAAAATAATAATTAGGTATATTTAATTAATTACACTAACATTGTTTCTTAACAGCTCTCTCCTTGTGCTTTGTTAGGAACGTACTAAGAATTCTCATCGTGCGGATGATTTTCAGGTTTATCCATGTCACTGGTTTTAAGCCGACGTTTCCATCACGAAAGAGTCCATCTTCAAGGGCTATGATAGTCACGACTGTTCAGCGTAAGGCCACGACAGCTGAACAGTCGTGACTATCATCGCCCTAAAGATGGACTCTGCGAAGAGTCCGAAACGTTGGCTTAAAACAAGTGACATGGATAAATTTGAACGAAACAATCATAAACCCTGAAGTAGTGTCACTGGCCGCCCCCTTCACTCAAGTCGTCTAGCTTTGAAAAAAAAAAAATAGCCATTTTTCTTATTGTATATAATAACACAATTTGTAAATATTTCCAATAAAAAAAAACCATCGTAAATAGAAAAGATAAATAATACCTACACGTTTAAAAATACTGTTTTTTTCAATTTTATTTTGTTTTTGTTATTACCACACTAGGTACATCGAGCATAATAAAGTGATCTTTTGAACTTTTCAAACGTTTTCCCTCAAATAATCTGCACTCTGCAGCGTGCAGTTGACTCAGGGTCAACCAATATATATATATATATTTATGCATACGTTTATAATCGGAACAACAACATTTTTCTAATGTAATTGTATATTTCTTGCGTAGTTATTAAAGTGATTACGTAAAACAGGTTTTGGTGATCATAGATAAAAAATGCACCTTAGATATATATATATATAGGGATAATATGTTTTTAATCTCCACAGTTCACAGATGCTTTTAAGTATTGACATCGATCTCAACTCAGTTTATATATCTTGTGAAGGTAATTTTTATAGCATTTTTAATATTTTTTTTTATTAGGTTAATATGATAGAAATATTTTATTTTAAAGTAGACATCGCTTTCATAACATTACAAGACATTTCAAATAAAATAATACAATATTATTTAATAATTCACTACTAATAAGCGCGGTGACACTATTACATTTCTATTATTATTATTTTTTTTTAATGGAACAGTTTTTTTCGTTGATATTGTTATGTACTACATTTTACTTTTATTTTCGTACCAAAAATAACTAATTTGTATTTATTAAATTATTAATCTATTTATCAATTATTTGGCTATTGAAACGTTTATATATTACTAAAAATATAAATTTAATATATAGTGTACCAACCCTTGGTCATTTGTAATACATTAAATCTTTCAGTAATTAGTCAGTTTTAAGCGTTTTAAGTTCCATATTTATTAAAAATATAAAATCAAATTCCACGAAAAAAATGCAATAATTATCATTTTGTATAACACACAAAAATGTAGTTCGACGATTTTGAATACCTTTTTTTCAATTTTATAGAAAAAATGGGATAATGGCTAAAAACGAGCGACATCTCAATACTTAAATTTCATAATAATTCATTTTTTGCGGAACCAAAACATTAATTTTTCTTTAAATCAAATAGTAAACTGACTGATTTTAATGATATTCCTATATGTATGGTGATTGGTGTGTATACTAATATTCAATAATGTGAATATTTTCTTACATGTTAAATTTAGCTTACAGTGATAGATTGACATTACTTTATTAAAAACAGAATAATTGAAACCTTTTATAGTTCTAGTAAAATAAAAATAAAAATAAGTATAATGTAAACTGTAAACAATTATTTATATTGATGTGTCTCAATACATTTTAATAATTAAGCCACTAGACTGTTGTGTTAGGTCTTCTGTTATCAGAAAATGAAAGCAATTATTTATTAGGTTGAAAGTAGAAAAAGTCTAAATATAGTACTAGTAGAAACGCAACTATTAAATTATAAATAAATGTATATAAGTTCAACTGCATAGTTTTATTTGACAATTACCACTGGTACATCTATCAATTTAGCATGTTCTTCGTCTTTAATTTTTTAGATAAATTTAAAGCTCCAAAGTCTAACTTATTATAAATCGTTGGCGTTCAGTTAAAACACTTAATAGGCCCTTTCTAAACTTATACAAATTTAAACACTAATGCACGTTTTTGTTATCCGAATTAAAAAATTTAATTTTCATTTTGCTTAAACATTAGATATTAATTTATAACTACCATTACAATTGTTGTATACAGGTTTGTGCTAATGACCATAATAAGTATGTTTACTGTTAAGTGTTTTATTAATTTTACGTACTCTCAAGCCATGCCTCTTTCATTTTTTATCCTGTATCATAATAAGTAACGTCATCTATTACAAAAGATAAAATTATGTACTCTTTATACTGACGCTTGCTTTATATTACTCGTTTATAGACGGGTGACCGACGACCGTGAGAGTTAGTTCCTGCTTTTGTAATGTATAATTAATAATTTGTTTGGTAATTTTTCAAGAAAACGAGAGAAATGGCTACAGATAAAGGTAACATTATTTTTTCTAATGTATTCAAAAATATCGCAGTCTGTAAAATTAAACAATTTATCTATAATTGTTTAGCTGTGGTATTCCCGGAAGATTTCTTGCTCGGGACAGGATCCAGTGCATACCAAGTCGAAGGAGCGTGGGCTGCGGACGGTTCGATGAGCATTATTTTTTATATTTCATAAAAACTAACGAATTAAAAGTTGTTGTATTGTTTTATTATATTTTAGGTAAAACCCCAAGTATTTGGGATGAGTTTTTCAATAATGGACAAAGAGTAAAACACGATGACTATGTTTGCCCACACTATTCTGTATTCAAAGAAATTCAGTATGGAGTCGAAAAGGCAACCGATCAGCCAATCTTAAATACAATTAAACGTAAGCTAGTTAAAATAGAAGACGTTTTCAAAGGATTTCAATATTTCAAAAAGGAAAAGACACCTTATGAGTTGGTTTCTGCGCCCACGTACACCAAAGAGGATGGTGGCATGATTGCGTGCGATTCATATAATAAAACAGACATAGATGTTAAACTTCTGAAGGATCTTGGTGTAAGTGAAAAAATTTAACTCTACTTATTAAATATGCAATCAATAGTTTTATAATGTATTTGTAAAGTTAACTTTATATTCGTATTTTTTTTATGGTTTATACAACAAAAAGTGTATTTTTAAATGAATAAAAATAGGCAGCACATTAGGACTTATTGTTAAAAGTATATTGTGATTTAGGTTCAGGTGTATAGGTTTTCATTAAGCTGGCCAAGACTGTTACCAAATGGAGATGATAAAGTATCCAATGAGAAGGGAATAGAATATTACAAAAACCTAATACAAAAACTACTCGATAACGACATCGAACCTGTGGTATATTGATTATTTCTTTGATATGCTAAATATTACAATCTATAACAAAATATTTGTTATGACTTTCTAAGTAATAATGATTTGGTAGGTGACTATTTATCATTGGGATCTACCTGAAGCTCTTCAAAAACTAGGTGGATGGGCAAACACAAATATTGTTAGATATTTTACAAACTATTGTAATTTCGTGTTCCAAACGTTTGGTGATAAAGTAAGTTTTGATAATGTGTTAATTACATTTTACTAAATACTGAATAATAAGGTGTAATACCTACATGTTTGTGTTTTAGGTAACATATTGGTCTACAATCAACGAGCCGAGGTTGGTAGCCGGAGCTTACGGTGGTTCCAAATCGGCTCCAGCATTGGGCGATGACTACAGCGGTATTGCAGATTATATGGTTATACATAATTTGCTGCTCGCTCATGCTTACGCATACAAATTGTACAACGACAAGTACAGAGAAAAACAACAAGGTTAGAGAAACATGTTGATTTGTACATAGATACAATACAAATAGAAAAATACATACATAATATACATACTATTTCCAACAATTGAACACGATTTTTCTCGACTTCTCATGAAGAGTTATCGGATACTTTAATTTTAATTTTTGGTGTTATAAAAGTATCCGTTGTTAAACAATTCAATCTGAGCCGACCGATACGATTTTTTTTTACAAAATTATAGCTTGTTAAGAGGACGCTGTGCACCAGTTTTTGCGGCCTAAACATACAAATTCCAACATTGTCCGTGTTTGTATAAACTTCAATGCTGTGACTTTTTATGAGTCTTAGAAAAATTATAAAAAAACAAATATTCATTTGTTAATAAAATGAAATGTATTAATACTATCGAGAAAAACCAACAAAATGTTCTGTGTATTTATGCTGACAAAACTTTGGTTTTTATGCGAAACTGTTTGGCACTGTAGCCCAAATGAGAGCGACTCTCTCGAAATGGGTTTTTAGGCCAAACAATTGTAATTTTGTCTATAGAATTTACTGTGATAGCCGTACAAAAAAAAATTAAACCACTAATAAAGAATTCTTTTAACTGTATTAATAAGTATACACTATAGTTTAAGCTCTAATTACAAATTGCAAAAAATTGCCTCTACCGAACCCTTAGTACATAAGAGTGAAGTCATAACATGAAAAATAGGAATTTTTTTTGAGATTTTTTTCTTTTAAATCCTCCTTTTTGTCAAGTCCTAATTAAAGCAATTTCTACCCGATAGAAGATAATTTCTACTTGTTGATACGGTTTAGGTGAAATCAGTTTATGTTTGGATGCTATTTGGTTTTTCCCTGCTGATCCAGACGATGAAAAAGACAAAGAAGCCGCTGAACTTGCATTTCAATCATTTGTAATTATCCTGAAATGGAAAAATACTTGATGTTGATTGACTTGAATTAATTTATAAATAAAACGATTTGTAGGTTGGCATATTTATTCAGCCTCTTTTGACCGGTGACTACCCGGACGCAGTTGTTAAATCAATAATCCAAACTAATGAACGGGAAAAAATAAATATATGGCGAATAATTCAGTTTACAGAAAACGAAAAAGAAATTCTCAAAGGTGACTGCAAATATAAGTTGTGACTTGTAACAGTGTACAGTCTATTATCTATTTGTTATTTTAATAAAATGACTGTGTTTTAGGTGCTTATGATTTTATTGCGTTCAATTATTATTTTTCATTGTACGCGAAACCAATGTCTCAAGAAAGTTTTGAAGATAGCTCTATCTCATTGAAAACAAAAGATATTGGAGTTGACATTCTTGGATTCCAAGACACTCATGATCCAGAAGATGTATTAAACAAATAATATTTTACACCGACTTACGTATTGTTCAGCATATTTATATACATTTGCGGTTTTGTTTTTTAGACACGAGAAGGTTTTAGGAACTTGCTCAATTGGTTCGATGAAAAGTTAAATCATCCGAAAATCTTCATAAGTGAAAATGGATTTCCTGAACCCGCAGGCGAGGACAGATCCTTGGAGAAAAAACAATTTCATTATGTAAATAAATATATTTCAAGCTGTACAGTATAATTATTATTTATGTGCTTTTATTTCATAACAGTTAACATATATTTACTATTGTCTATTTATACTTATTAAAATATTAAATTGATATTCTGCTTCTCAGGATATTTTAAACGAGGTGGACCAAGCGTTAAAAAGAAAAATCAAAGTTTTCGGATATTGCGTGTGGTCTTTTATGGACTCTTTAGAATGGAGTGACGGATACAAGTAAGATTTATTTATATGTAGTTCTTATTATCAAATAACATAATAATTTTTATTTTGTTTAGAACTAAATACGGTATCTATGGGGTGAATTTTGATGATGAGTCGAGACCTCGCTATAAAAAAGAAAAGATTTTTACTTTTTTCGAACAACTATTCAAAACAAAAACATTACCGTCGCCTGAGGTTGAATAATACGAAATGAATTTGTGTAAACCATTTTTATATAGGTACTTTTATTTACAGGGATGTCAGCTATAAAATTGTAAATTGTAATTAATATTTATTGGGAATCTAAATTAATAATTATTATTTTGTATAATACACATAAATCTGTTAAAAAGTTTTCATAAGAACTTATATAAAAGTTTCTGTATAACTGTCATTTGTTAGAACTTTTTTTTTATTCTTTAATTACTGTTATAAAATGAAACTTTTTAATAAAATTTCGGACCGTGCTATTTTTAATTAAAATATATATTTTGCTCCATTAATAAATTAACATTAATGTGCAGTGTTATGAGTTGTGTGTAATATTATGTTGTATTAGTGTAATATTTTGCATTATTTTAATAAAAAAGTGTAATTATATGTATAGCTTCCTTTTTACATATTACATATTATTATTTATTTATACATATACATAATTCATGTTATTGGTGATTGGGCTGGTTCGGTTTGTTTTTTTATTGTTTCTTTAAGTATTGGATCTTCAAAGGAAGTGCACTTAGACTTTCCTAATATTTCAACGCAGAAATCTCCACAGCAATAATGCATTAATTTTTCACAGTCTGTTTTACCGGAATTTCGGTTACTTTTACATACGAGCTTCGTTAGTTTTTTTCGCATTAATTGCTCTGCTCCATTATGCTTTATCATGTACTCAGCTACGCTATTCGCTTCTTTATAAAATTCGACGGCTGCTTTGAATGTCGGTAGTAATCTAGAAATGATTGTTCCCATTATGGTATCATAAAATGAGTCTGAAAATTAATTTAAATTTCTAATGAGTAGAAACTAACTTATCTTTATAACTAAGTTTATTTTAATTTTAAAGTACCTACTATTTATTTTAGGAACAAGTTCATGAATTTCAACGCAACTTTTTAAAGACTTTTTGATTTTGTCATTGAGTGTTAATGGTTTCTTTTCTTCATTTCCAGTTTCGGCATTTGCTTTTGGTATACAAAATACTTGTGACATCTGGAATATTCAAGGTAGTATTAATTTAAATGTAGGTAGGTACTTTTTCAAATTAATTAAAAAATAAAACGATATAATTGAAGGAAATTTTAGGAAACAAATAAAAGACAAAGACAATGTACAAAGACTCGCACTAACTTTACCGCCTCAATAATTTTTTTCTATTTCTTTTTTTACATTATAAAGATACCAAATTGTAACTTACACACGCAATTAATATGAAATTCTTCATCGTGACACTTGATTTCATCGTTGTTTTGCAGATCATATATATTTAATTATATTAAAAAATAAATACGAAACAAATGTCACCGAACGAACTAATTGCTAAAAAATGATAAAATGTATGATACGTGTACAATTTTCTATTTATGGACTGTGGTAGAAGTTAGAACTGCCGTCTATATTTGCGTTGTACGAATAGAATTACTATTTTCTCAGGTGGCCTAACCTTAGTAACAAAGTTAAATAAAGTGAACAAAATTCAATATTCACGTACGACTCTAACTGCTTAAACAACATTGCACCTAACGGTATATAGTATATCTGTTTAGTTAATTTTCCCAAAAAAGTCTCGCGCCGTATACACGACTCTAAATATAACACCTATAAACTATATAGTCAATATATAGTTCATCATATATACATATATATCAACAATATGATTCAATCACTTTTGTTCGTGCACTCGTTGTTTTCCGTTTGCACATATCTGATGTGCTCGGCCGGAAATCCCGGATCATCGTCAGCGGCGGACCCTAAAGCGTCAAGATTAAACACAATTTTGAAAGCGGACAAGTGGAAACTACTGGTACAACTGTCCCTGGCAGAGAAGAGAAATTTGAAAGACAAAAATGGCCATGAACTGGACGTGTCGGATCTATTGGTGAAGGGGCCAGACGACAATATCGTTACCGCGGTAAACTACACGGACAAATTGCTAAAAGCTTCGACCATAGTAAACTGCGCTTTCGGCGAAAGCGTAATATCCATAAGCGGTTTCTTCATTGATGTAATCGCCACACAGTGCACGAAGTTGGGTTCGGGCGAAACAATGTTGGATTGCATGGAACGGTTTTGGAAGACAATAGACGCGAACAAGACGCTGTTCGTAAAAATGAAGAGAGTTATGAATTTTTTTTACGAAGCTAACGAAACCGTGTGCTCGAAAGTAGTGATTGTCGCCTTGGACGGCCTGTTGCCACACTACGACGGTGAGAAGTACGTCAAATCAAAATACATAAATAGTGACGGTACGGTCAAGATAAATCGTCTTAGGCGCAATCACACATGGTTCCTAGACAAGGTGAAATGCGCAAACAAATTACTGCGGGACTTTGTCAATGACCGTTGTTTGCGGACTCCCGTGGAAGCAAACGAACGTTCCGACGAAATCGGAGCAACGATGGGCAACAATCCTCCGTCACAGGCGGTAATCGATGAAATGTTTGGCCTTTATTATGTCAGTTTATATGATAGCAATCGAATGTTCTTAACTGGACTGGGGTTCGACGAGCAATAAAGAGTTTAAGATTGTTATGTACATTTTTACTGTCATTAATTAAGAGTTCTTGTTTTAGATTATACGTTTTTGTTGTTGAATGAAACCGTTTATTCTGTTTGACACATGTTTGCTTTTCATAAAATAAATAAGTTTCCGAAATGATTATAAGAATTTTTTTTTATTATTATTAATAATTGCTGTTGTTATTACACATTATAGCACACTATATGATAAAAAAAAAAAAAAATACAATACATACGAATTTTTTTTAGTAAGTATCTTTTTGTTTTTTCCGTGCTATTCGATACGGATGTTGCTTAAATAACATGTTTTAAATTACCAACCATCTGATGGTATGACGTTTGTTACTGTTGTTATTCCGGTCCACTGCCGATTGTTTGCGAGCACTGAGCAGTACATCCTTCCTGGATTCATGGATTTTAATAATTGTTGTCCTGGCCAGTGCCATGCGTGTCCTAATTTTCAGGCCAGGATCGTTATATACCTTAATATAACCATAAAAATGGTCTTTCGTCTGGAGCAATCTAGGAAATCAAACGACCTGCACTTAAAAGACTACACGTCAGACGATTTATATTATTAATTGTCTTAAAAAAATATTCTTATATCTGATTATTATTTACACTTATTTATGTAGCCATAATAAATAAAAGTTAAACAATTAAACAAACATTTTCATTTCTTTTTACGGTTTGCCATTAAATTGATTTATTAGATGACAGACGAGCACACAACATTTTACAACACAGCATAATATATACTTGTTGTACATACTATATTATATTCTATAATTATTTAGTATATGCATATTCATTAGTTTGCGTTTGTCGCTGTGTTTACCAGGAAGTGTTTTATTTAATAAAACTACATGATATCAATAGATAAATTACCATAAATCGGGTTCTAAGATGTTGCACATAATTTTTATTTATATCCATTATTCTTACAAAGGTCTAAAGATGTTCTAAAGGTCACGATTCCAGATAGACAGTAATATTTTTGCTCTAATGTAAACAAAAGTTAAGTAATCCATTCATTTGTAAAAGTGAACACAAAATCATTTCGATGGTGAAAATTAAATAGTTTTTTATTATAACTAAGTGAAAATAAAAATGTATATTTTGCTTAATCATTTATTATTATTAATTCGTTTATATTTATCACACAAATTTATTCGCTATTCATTATTTATTAAAAAGTATTTGGTTGTTATTTTGTGTAATTGTCTATTCAAATATTATCATATTTGCGTAATTGTTTATTACCAATTAAATACCAGCCAACTTTATACCGAAAATTTAAAAAAAAATGGGTAAAAAGAGTAAAGGAGGATCTCAAGTTTAGCTTCTTTAATGCGTAGCTGGATCGATTGGTACAGTGGAATAAAAACTAATAAATATTAATTGACAATAATATATGTGTATAATACGTGTTGCGTAATTAAACATTTATTAAGTTTATATATTTTGTTATTATAACTATTATAAATAATAAATTGCTTGTCATTTCAATTATTATGACGTTAAATTATTAATATAACATTCAAAGAATTATTTCCTTGTACCAATATGTACTTCGTATTGTGCCTCTAATTAATCATCTAATTTATTTATGGAAACATTTTAAAGTAGATACCTATAATTCTAAGTATAACACTGTATTATTTAAACACACATAAATACTCGTCCGAGATGTTTATTCAATTCATCGACGATGATTTTTTAATACTTAAATAGTGATGCTTTTCGTGATATTATACATTTTTATGAAAATAATAGCCAATGCGTAGGCAAGTGTAAAATGTTTACCTTTACTTATGATAAATTAGAATAGTCGTAGTCTTAACAATTAGGAACATTATATCAAAAATAACTACAGTTGGCTTATAATTGAAAAATAAAAAAAACTCAAACTTACTAATATGGTAACAAATTCTTCGATAGTATACTTATAAATTTACATAATATATAGATATTATGATAAACCCTATACGAATCAGACAAACTTTTCTTTAATGCACAAATTTGAAAAATTGTTTCTACTATTTAAACTAATTTTGTTTGGCTATCAAATTGGCTTATTTAACAAAATTGCACATTGCAATTGTAATTTTTGTACATCGTACACTAATTCTAAATCCGAGCAAAAATTTGTCACGATGTTTTAGAATTAAAAATTTGACGATGTAGATAACTGTAGTAGATTTCGAAACAGGAACGATATTTGGGATGGTCGTGCAATTGAACTATGACATAATACAATGGACGTTTTCCAGAATAATTAAAATGACTATTCTTTTTGGATAGTAAAAAAAAAATGATGCAGTCCATCTGTAAATTTACAAAAGTTTACATAATTGTTAACATCTTATCGATCGGTATTTATTGTGTTATAAAAAATGATATCATATGGTATTCTGTTAAAATATTTTCATAAGAAAAAAAATGTAAAAACTACAACGAAGTTACTAGGAACAACTTTAGGTAAATGATACAAATAAAACTGACAATATATTCGCTGACAATTTCTTTATTTTATCCACTAAACATTTGTTTCAAGCGAAGTTAATATAATAATTTGTTTTATTTTATTACACAAACATTGAAAATATCCATGGGTATACATCATTGTAGCCTACCTTATATATAATAAATATATATTTTCTCAAATAAATTACTTTGACATCTCATCATAAATTTAAAAAAAAAAACTTTAATCAATAATAAATATTTCTTAAAAGCGCAAATTCTCATAAAGAAGAACCAAACGCCAAAAAGTAGAAGTTCTATAACATTTATTATACTTAAAAAGAATTCTTAAGGTTTTTTTTTTTAAATAACATTATTCAAAAATAAATATTAGCAAAATTGTATTAAAATGTACACTTTAAAGCCTTAAAAGGTAACTAAAATGTGATATTAAAGGGCTTTTTTTATTTCCTGACAAATAAATATATATTTATATATAATTTCTATATAAATTAAATAATAAAAGTTTCTTAAAAATACTATGATTGCTCTAAGTTATATATATATATATATAGATAATATTAATAATTTTAGTTATCTTCGTTCAGGCATATTTGTTATGTATTAAATGTATAACAAAAATAATACTTTATCAATATAATAATATAAATAAATATATATATATATGTATGTATGTAATATTTATGAACAATTAGTCTCAATTAAATAATATTAGCTTAATAGTTTTTTTTTTTTTAAATATTTATTACAAATAATAAATAAAGTATATTATGTAAAGGATAGATTTATTTTCTGGCGTTAAAAAAGAAAAAATATAATAAATAAACATTGCAAAATTCAATAAAATAAAATAATAATAATAATAAGTAATAATAATAAAATTAAATAAAACTAAACATGTAAAAATTGGTTAATTGTTGATATATCAAATACGAAAATTATGTATAAGAGATGTGCACGAAATGTGTTGCGGTTTCACTTATTTATTTTTTCTGAAGCGAGTATGAAGGAATATTTTTATATTATTATTATTAATGTTAGCTGTCAAGTGGTAGCAGCAGCGTTCAGCTGTTAGCGTTTTACCTATAGAAAAAAAAAAAAATATATGAGTTTGGTACTAATGTATCATAGATTCTACTAGGGGTGGTTTAACAACATCATATTCTAAATAATTTTAACCATTTTTAGCTATTTCAATATATTTATGACTGAGAATCTTACACTTTTTTCATTGTGAAGAAACTGCGACGTTTGGGTTCCTCCCGTTTGTCTCCGCCGGCCGGTAAAGTTTGTGATCGTGACTGAGTGCCGGCCGTATCCTGTTCACACACTGCTTTTAAAGTGTTGACCCATTGTCTCATTTCAGTATCGTTACGTGCCTGGAACAGGAATTCTGCACCAGCGGACAGCTTTACACGCAAAACAAACTTCTTTTTGGTGTAGTCTGTGGCCACATCGGCGGAACCACCGCGTAAATCGATTGGCGCCTCGCCCTTGAAGTATGTGTCTGGCGATGATTTGGCCACCTTGGCGTCTTTGTAAAACGCCAGATTGGTGCCCTGCACACACACGAATACTTTGTCCCAAGACCTAAATAAACATTAAAAATAAATGTAAGTATAAACTATTATTATAATCTACAAAGCTGTTTGATGATGTTGTTTAAAAGTAATTATAAGTTGTACAGACAAAATTTTTAAGCGAACATGTTAGATGATTAACTATTGCTCTGTGTTTAGGCATTAATCATTCGTTGTCGTTTACCTGTTAGATGCTTTTTTTGTGGTCGACTCCCATTCGTGTTTTCTGTTGAGTACTCCTTCAAGGATCTCGCCATCAGTGTCGACAGTCGATTGATCTAAAATATAGCAAGGTATTACTATGACGACGAAATCCATTAGAAAATTAACCAAAAAATAATACATAAATTAAAATAAAATAAACAATAAATACAACTTATAACTTAAGTGTTCTCGACTATCACATGCGAAGTGACCAAACAGCACATTAAATATAAACCTAATATATTTTACCACCATTTATCTATAAACTCTACTGTTGGAAAAATTAATATTTATATATTCATAAATAGAACACTAAATATACATTTCACGCTTAAAAAAATAAATAAAAACTAGCTGGCTAAATAATATTGTTACTATTAAAACTGACGGTGAGCTTTTAAGCCTAGCATGTGTGTGAGTGTGGTGTGTAATTACAGTACCTGAAGTACCTGAGGTACGCTCGACGATGGCCTCATCGTCGCTGACCGAAGCCACAGCTGACAACGGACTTTTTTGAGGAGATTTTTTCCACCTGAAGCTCCGGAACGGTGACTTGGACCTTGACCTGTCCTTGTTACGGTCTTTGACTAATTGACTTCGCGAAGCTAGGTTTTTTATTTTGTTTTCAAAATGCACAAAACGCAAAACAAATAAAAATACGACAGTTACGACAAGCACAAAAAAAAACTAAATATAAGTATAAAATATATAATAATTTAATATTATTAAAATGTAAGTTCTAAATTTTGTTAATACATGTTAATGTTCGTAACCATGATTACATGCTCGCACACTATGAAAAAATATTGACGATAATGGCCGAACACATTTAATTTGAAAATTATTATTAATTAACATAAGCTTAGCAAGCGATACGCCCAGACTAGGACGCAATGAGTACTTACTTGCAGGCAAAGTGGATGAAGATCTGGCGGATCCACTGGGACCGGCCGTGACATTCTTCTTGCCGGATGCAGAGCTCACATGCACTACAAAAATATAGTAACGACAAAAAAAACAATTCAAAATCATGCTGGCCAGCAGACAATCAAAAGTCAATACACTACTTACTACTACCACAACTATTACTAATATAACAAATTATGCAATACTACAAGCAGTGTTGGGCAAAATTTAAATAAATTTAGCCTAAAAAAGACATAGATAATCTGTAATTTATTTTTCATAGAAAATAAATTATCTTATTTTAAAAAGTAACGTTAGTTAAACACATTTTGATGAAAATTTATTCTAATAATGCCCAACTCTGATTCTACAAGTTACAGTTACTAAACATGCTCACAATGTGCAGTAAAAAAATACACTTAGAAGACACCACAATCGTTAAACATTGTTTCCATATACCTGCGGTCGGTTTTTCGATGGGCGAAGTCAGTGCGAGGTTAGTGGGTGGAGGTTTACGTACTGACGCTATAATGTTAGATTTATAGAACGAAAGCGTGCACAAATATAAACAGAAAATTACATTTTTTTATGTTCATTGTTTATAATATACACATTTATATAAAACACAGTTATTAATTATTATCATAACAATTAATTTTAATTACAATTGTCTTTTTCACCAGTAAATTAACTTTCTATTTTGTGCTGGTTAAATTATAATTTTTTTTAATTTTTTTTTTTTTAATCCATTCGTCGTTGTGTGCATTTTTTACCTTTCCCTGTGTATACCCTCTACACAAACCTGGGCATTAATAAAATAATTTTTATATATTAATAAAAAAATTATTTGATGTACTTATTGAAATGTATTTTAAATAATAAACCATTTGTTTATTTAAAATTATTTGCAATATAAATAAAACATGCCCAGATTTGCTTCTCCGTTCCACCAAATATCATGTGCAGCCTCGATAATACCTGAGTAAATGCATAAAATTATCATACTTTTTAGGTGTCATTTTTTTAAGTGCGAAGAATTTCAAACATATTTATTTACATTGTGAGAAAACCAGTTATTTTACCAGTTAATGTACACAATATTTCACAAGTCATTATATAATATTTATATTTTAATACATTTTTACAGTTTATTACAACACAGTATTAATATATGTATATTTTATATGTACATATTATTTGTTTTTATTGACAGTGGTCAATAGAAAAAAAAAATTTTTTATTTTAATAGCAAGATTAGAAAATGTTATGTAATATGAACAAAAATTTAAGAGAAAATTTGCATATTATTTTTGTTTCTTAAAAGTGTGTTAATACTTTTCTGATTTGTTGAAAATTTGAATTTGCTTCTTGATGAACATAGATTTGTATTATTTTTAACACCTATTAATGAAGCAAGGATTCACTTGAGTAGATCAATATTTTTACTGTTTTTAATGAATGGTTTTTTCATACATGTTTTCTATTATAACTGACACCACTAATATACCACCCACATCCTTAGGACTACCCTTCTATTGTACATGCAAAATACTTAATAGTTAACAGAATTGTAGAAGAGAACTTACCAGGGCGACCTTCACTGTCTTTAGCTTTGCCGTCAGCTTCCGATGCTTCTTGAGCACTATACATTTTTTTTAAAAAAACAGGTTATAAATTATAACTGTACAATAAGTTAAGTATATTTGAAACTAATAAAAGGACTACAACATACGCTTTAGCAGCTGCTTCAGCTTCAGCTTGAGCTGCTTGTTGAGCAAGCTCTTCTTGTCGTTTTCTTTCTTCTTCTTCTTTTCGACGTTGAATTTCTTTCAATTCAAACTATAAATCACAATGTAATAAAGTAATGTTATTGTTTGAAGACGATCACAAGGTACTTACGGTGGTTAATCGTTCTAAAGCACAGAATCTTTCTTCTTGTGCGATGGCTGACTTTTCGAAAGCTTCATGTTTTTTAATTAAGTTTTCCACTTGATCAATGGTCATCTGAGTAAACAGAAAATTTTAATAACATACATTGCATTTTTTTAAGTATCCTTAAAGTTTATGTACTTGTTTCAAAAGCTGTTTGGCGTTAATATTATAAATATACAACAAACACTTACTCCTAATTCTAAACTCATTATATAAGGTTCTTGGGCCAACAACCAAGCTTCAGCAACGGCTGCATCTCTGGCAAACTGATATACTTCCAAAACTAAAAAAAAAATAATCAATATCAACTATAAAAATATTAAAAAAAATATTAAAATACGGACTTAGCTGTAAGTTTTCCCATCGTTCTTCCCATCTGTTTAGCAACGAATTCCTCTGGGTGTTCAACAACATAAGTTTATCTTTAATCTGTAAAATAATAATAATGTAAATGAAGGATAAAACAAGTTACATTTATTCAATTTAATATTTACTTCGTTGGATGCATAATGGTTTCTAGAAAGTAGTTCTTTTCCCAAGGAGATACAAGCAGTGAAGTTGTCTTCTCTCGTGTCGATTTCAGCCTTCAGGCTTTGGTGGTTGTTCATCAACAGTTCGACGCCGCTAACATCTCTAAAAATACAAATTTTTTCTTGTTGTTAAATAGCAATACAAATTATTAAAATTAACAACATTTACTAAATGTCAAAATGCTTACCTGGGTTTCTCCGATGTGTTCATCTGTCTGACAACATCGTCCATCCAAATGGTCAATGTCCTGACCATGTTGAAGAACTTGTGCAGATCTCCTGTGTCGGCTAATTTTTGTTTGCGTAGCTCACACCCAGACTGCAAGGCAGCCCAGGCGTTAACCACCTCAGCTTCACGACCAGTTATCTCCTTTGCTTTGTCGCCAGCGTATGACGTTTGCAGACGAGCTGAATCTTCAGTTATAGCTTGGACCTGTGCGCTTAGTGTGTGCAAGTCTTGCAAGAAACTCTGGTGTTTACGCTGTAATGTGTGAACAGACCCAGCGTCTCGACCGAGGTCCTCAGACATTTCATGATTCTTCTCGGCAATGCGGCTAACCATGTCTTTGCAGTCATGGAAGAATTTATGCAACTCTCGTGAAGCCACCAACATCTTTAGCGGATAACAGAAAATCGTTAGAAAAATAATAATATTATACATTTCATTAATTAATATTTACTTGTTTTCTAGTTTCGATCAGTTCGAGTAGGTCTTGCCACTGTTCGTTTAAGCTATCTTTCCATTCTGCTATTGTGGCAGAATCACTGTGACCGATGTTGATCAGTTGATCAGCAATACCGTTAACCGTAGCAACACGTTCACTGCCTGTAGCTTCGGTGTCACGAGCAAATTCTTTGAATCTCTCAAATAGTAACTAAAAAAATAAATAAATTAAGTATTTTGTTTATTAAGGATACACTTAAATTTTGTATAACTATTGGTTAACTCACTGTGACATGATCATAGTCCTGTCCGAGTTCATGTGATCCAGCGACTATTTCTCTCTCAGCGATCCATTGTTCCAAATCGTCCACTTCACGGTGTAACATGAACAATTTCAGGGCTTCATCTAATTTAGCTTTACGTTCTCCGGCTAAATCTTTAAGGCCAGCGTATAACTTATCGACTTGTGATTGTTTGACAGCTATTTGGTCGCTCTCAGGATGCATTTCACTAGTCAGTTGACGAGCAGTTTCTCCTAGCTGCCTAATAGTATCCGCGTAGTTGTCAACAGCCAATTCTTGGGATTCGTGTTTCTTTTTTAAATTTTGCGCCGATATCTGATCTTTTCCACGGTCTTCCACCATCATGTACAGTTCTTGTTCGCCCATCCAACTTTCTGCTTCGCTAGCGTCGAAGAAGTACTGAAAACAAAACAATTTTATAATATAGTTTGCAAACATTTGAGCGAAATCCTCGCTTATATTCTTTTAATTTGTGCTTTTGCTTACTTGTTGGGCCTTTTCAGATTGTAGCAACATCTGTCTACGGTGTTCGACGTCTTGTTGGAGCTGTTGCCAACGCTGGGTTAGGTCATGGATGAGGTCTGTGAACTGAGATGCATCCTCATGTCCTTCATCGATTAATTTCTGCCCATTGTTGCAAACGAGGTTAATGCGAGTTTCGTGATTGTCAATCTCATTACCCAAAGACTGAAAAATAACAAGTTTATTTTATTTTAATTTTATCTACACATAAACCAATTGTATAAAGTTTAATACACATATTATGTAGATATATTTTTTGACCAATTTTAATTTCTAAAGCTTGTCTCACCCTGAAGCAGGGCTTGTATGAGACAGAGAAACACAATACTTCTAGTGTAACCGAATTTAACATCCTATTCATTGTATTGCACAAGTTCACAAAAATGAATATAAAATACAAAAATAGTTACTTGATTTTTCTTTTGCAACATGTTGACATTGAACAGGCTATTTCCATATTCAGTGGACGTGGCCAATGGTGTTTTTTCAGTGATCCATAATTTTTCATCTTCAACATCTCTTTTGAATTGGAACGCTTCCTTCTTTTTCTCTAACTGCCTCTGTCTCAGTTGTAGTGGTTCCTTAAGCTGTCCGAATCGCTCTTCTACTTTGACTTTCTTAGGTATGATCAGTTCATGCTTCTCTGGAACGGTCTTTTTCAAATATTCCGCTTGAGTTTCCAATTCCACAACTTGTTTAGCCTTGACAGCCATTTGTGTCTCAATCATTTGTTGTTTCTGCATGAGTATATTAACTGAAGCTAGATCGGTTCCTGTATCCGCAGCCTCAATTTGTTTCTCAAGGTCGTCCATCCAAGAGTCGATATCTTCACAGGTCTGGTGAATAAGAACTTCTCTGTTAGCATCAAACAGGCGCTCGCCCTTTGCAGTGGTGGTCTTCTCCAAATCTTCAAATTGGTTCAACATTTCTGATATCTTTGGTTCGATAACAGACGCCAATTCTGGTTTTTCTTTCATAAGCTCTTCTCCAGATTGTTGTACTCTGTCTAGCCTATCTTTGTTGGAGGCGATTTCTGCTTCAAACGCTTGATGACGAGTCCACTTGCTGTGCACTGTCTTAGCGCTTCTATAAGTTTCATCTTGAGCAGTGAATTTCTTTTCTTGAATCCATTGCTGAAGTTCGTCGGAATCTTGTAGGAATTGGTGAAGTTGTAGTTGGTCTTTAAGTTGGTCCATGAGTTTTTGGGCTTTTTCACGGTTGGCTTCACGACGTTCTCGTATATTGTCAGCCTTCTTTTTCACTTTGTCAGCATCATAATGGTTTTCATCAACCAGCTTAGAAGCGAACTGTGTGACGCCATTGATTTTGTCGTCATTAGCTTCCATAGTTGTTAGGAAAGCTTCGTGACGCTTGATGAGGTTTTCAGCGTGTTCCAGATTTGTCTATGGAAAAAAACATATACATAATAAATGAACAATAAGTGATAATGTTTATAAAATATGCAAAAACTCACTGGAACTTCATCTTTAGATAACAAATGTTCTTGTTGGGAGAGTAACACTTCGGCTTGTCGAGCATCGCGATTGAACATTTGAAGATTGAGAGATTTAGACAAGAGTTGTTGGCGGTTGTCCCACATTTTATGTAGTTCTTGCCATCCGTCACGCAAAGCCTTAAGACGTTCCCTTAAGAACATGTATTGATGATCATCTTGGGTACCGGGTTCCTAAAATATTATTAAATATTAGAAGAGCATTTTTACCATAAAAGTGTTTTTAAAATTATATACTTACAGCAGTAACTTTATCACCATATTCCATCATTTGAGTGTAGTCTGTGGTATAATTATCGATTTCTTCACGTATGGCTTGGTGCTGAGAGAGGAGTTTCTCAGCTTCAGACAACGAAGACGGAATGTCTTCAGAAGCGACGTCAGTTTGAGTTTTGGTCAACCATGCCTGGAAGTGGTCGAGGTCACGCAAGAAGCGATGAATGTCACCAGCCTCTTCCAATTTCGAATCCCGTTCTTTCAACTAAAATCACCACCACATAAATTATTAATTATACAACACACAAAAAACTAACAAAATAATAACAAATGGTAATTGTTTATTACCATTTGAGTCAACTCTTCCCAATCTTTTTGAATGGTCTCTATTCTCTCCCGTATAACAGCGGCTTCTTCAGGATGTTCCTTCTCGTTAGCTTGAGCTTCAGCCTCCAAAGAGTCGAGTTTAGCTTGTATAGCAGCCAAGTCACGTTCCATACCAGACAAACGTCGCTAAACAATATTCAAATGTTAATACATTGTATCGTATATTTACTGTCTTCAAATAATGAGTTTAAATTTTACCTGCAACGTCATTATGCCGGTAAGATCCATTTCTAGGCTATCAGTAGATTGTAATATTCTCTTTTTGTCCTCAATCCAAGATATAGTTTCTCTGCATTCAATATGGAAAGTCTGAACACCATGTGCAGAGTTCAGTTGGTCGCGTTTGACTTCTGCCTTATCACGTAGTTCGCCCCATTCATGATTCAACTGAATATGAACAAAAATAATTGTTTAATATTTGAATACAAAATAGTTGTAATTACTTTATATACATTGTTTTGTCTGTTGACGATTTCGTCTGAATTAGGATGTTCGACATGAAGTAATTGCCGCGCCAATTGGTTTACAACCGCAACACGTGAAGCATTAGAATTCATTTCCTTGTCAAAACCGTCATAACGATGTTTCATAATTTCAACATCTTCAATATCTTTTCCTGGACTCATGGTCTCCAACATTCGGTTCTGTAAGTCATAAAATCATACAGTAAAATAATAAATAAACACAATTTTGTCTTAAAATGAATTACCTTCTCTCCAATCCATTGTTGCACAGCATCAGCTTCGCTAAATAGTTTGTACAACGAAAGAGCATCTAACAATCGTTGATGTCTTAGCTTAGCTAATTCAACCAATTCTTTGTATCGCTTGTCGATAGATGACATTCGTTCATTAACTTCTGGTCCGCTTGTTGGTGCACCTGGTTCAGCATTCAACTGGTTGGCTTGAGACCGTAGGGCTTCTACAGATTGAGAGTATGATTTCAACTCTTCGCTCACCTAAATTAAACAAGTTTAAAGAAATGTTGTTACACTAAAATTTTAAATTTTAATCTAGAAATTTACCTCCTTGTGTTTCTTTAACAACGATTGTACGTTAGCTTCATCGCGGCCGACATCTTCAGAAGAAACAAGTCTTAATGTGTCTAACATCCAAATATCGACATCATCAGCATCAGCGAACCACTTTAATAAGAATAAACAAAAGATCGTTAATTAATGTTTAAGAGAATTTAACATAAAAATAAATAAGAATATGGAAATTTCAATTACTTGATGATAGTCAACAGCATCTTCCAAACGTTTGCGTCTCTGTTTTGCCAATGTGATCAAGTTTTCCCACATGGTGTGTGTGCTCGACACACGTTCTTGTATACGATCAGCACCGAAATGATTACTACTGATCAAATCTTCGCCGACTTTGACCACTTCCAGTAACTGACCTTCATGACTTTGAATTTCATTTTCGAGTGCCTTGAAAGAAATAAAAATCACAAATTATAATATAAATATTGTTACATGTGTTCATAAAACTCACTTTATGTTTAGAAAGCAACAAGTTGATGGTTGTCAAGTCATGACCAATATCTCCAGCGGACACAATCTGTTCCTTTTCTTTAATCCAGTTCTCCTCGTCGGCCATGTCCCAATAGAACTGCCAGAGTTTCCTGCTCTCTTCCAAACGAGATCTTCTTTCAACAGCTAATTTAACCAATTCAGAATAGGCATCCTCGAGTTCCTGAACTCTTTCCACAATGACGGCTGGGTCACATGGTCGATAACCTTCAGTATTCTCTTCATCCAAAAATCCTTGTGAATGTTGTACAACACTCTTAACCCGTTCACCTAAGACGTTGATGTCAGCCTCGACAAGACTGTGTTTCTGAAGGAGGTCTTCGACGCCCATCAAATGTTTGCCGTAATCATCAGACAAAAGTCTCATCTTCAGTTCTTCCATGGAATCCAAAATATAGAGCATCTCTTGGAAGTTCTGTTGGAGTTGTAGAGAAAGTTCCAAACGGTGTCGGCGGGCTTTCAAAAGTTCCAAAAGATAGTTCCAGAGACGGAGAACGTTGTCTTTCCTGATGGTATACATAAGTTATTTAAACCGAGCAAACAAATTAAAATTTAATAGAAATCTTACCTGGCATTTATACGAACGATATCGTGGTAATCTTCGGTCTCCAATTCTTCTGCCACAGTCACAACAGCTTCTACGCGTTCTTCATAGGCAAATATGTCGGTTTCGATAGCTTCGTGTTTCTTGGCTGCGGCCTCAACGGCGGCCAAGTCCAATCCGAAATTGTCCTGTAAAATGATAATTATGTTTAGACATTGGATACCGTTTGACAAATGATAGTTTATTTCAACTCACCTGAGAAACCAAACGTTGATTTTCGCTCAGCCAAGTTTCTCTCATGCTGGCTTTTCTATTGAATCTTTGGGCGAGTTGTTCTAGTTTTTCTTGCCTGATGATCTCTTCTCTTAGTGCCAACTCTCTTTCGTGTTCAGCTTTTTCTAACTGTTCCCACGCTTTGTTGATGTCCGAAATCATTTTCCCCTCTTTGGGCGTGTACGGTTTCTGGTTGTTAGCCCTCATCTTGGACTGCAATGTGAACAGCAGCACTTCTAGATTTCCTTTTTCTACAAATTTCGGCGGTTTCTCTACAGTCCTGTAGTTGTTGAACTGCTGTAGTTGTTGCTGAACGCCGTTTAACGAGTTAAGGAATTTGCGCTCGGCCAGCGACTCCTTGGTCTGCTTGATCCATTGTAACAGGTCGCTGGTGAGACGTTCGTATTCTTGTGCGGTGCGTTCGTTCTCCATGGCTATGCCGACAACACGACCAATTCTCTTGCCTTGCACCGTCTCTTGTTTCATTTTGCTGAAGTAATGGTAATATGTGACCACGTATGTGATGATAGATTTCTCGTCTGGTTGTTCGACAAACACATCCTCAGCGTCCAACAACTTGACTATGCCCAGTTTGTCCTCGGCCGTGTTGAACGCATTGTTTAGATTGTGGTTCGCGTTCGTTTTACTGAGTTTTTCGAATTGCACCAGGTCTGGTCGGTGCTTGTGGATGATTGCGTTGAATGCCAAACCGTCTCGCCACGAAGTCGTAAAGTTGCGTACGTTAACGTTGTGGTAGCCAGCGGTTTTCATTTGACACCATAGTAACAGTGCGTCCTTGGCCGATTTTGTTTCTTTGTTGTCTGTCTCTTCGATGGTGATGTCTTGAATCTATATTTTGGGAAAATAATAAGTTTTAAACCGATCCAGTCTATGTCCGTTATAAAATAATTCCAAAAACTCACTTGGAATCTTAGGATAATAGTCCATATGAGACCCAACGATAGTCTGGGGTTACCGTCGACGATGTCGTGCGATCCCATGTTTTCTAAATGTACTCGCTGGTCTTTTAAAAACTGTAGGGCTTTGTCGACGTTTTCTAAACAATGTATTCTCATTTTTCCTTTGGTGGGTTTTGGCTGTGGACAAGAACAATAATTTGTGAAATTACAGCCGTCGGCATAAACAGATATAAAAATAATAATCTATGTTTACCAATCGTTCTCCGGAGAGCACTTCCAATAGCTTGATGAGCATTTTGCCGTCTCTGAGATCCACGTACAAATCTCCGATCCGGGAGTGCACCCTGACCAAGTGCGAGTTTACCCATTTCTGAAATGTTTTTTTCTGTACACTTTCTCTTTCGTCTATAAAAAATAAAATAAAAGATATAAACGTACAAATCTAACGTTTAAATAAATAAATTCGATAGCGCATTTTTTGGAACCCCTGTAAACTTATTCTATTAAAAATGGCACAACATGAGTAATACAAACGGCGGGCGAGGGTAGCAAACTACTGCTACACGTCATTGATGGAGGGTCGTATCCCCCATTCACTATAAACTAAAACATGTAACATAACTGCCGCCGACTTTCCCTCGCCTGTATGGGCCGCGCCCTTGTGTCTCTTCCCGCCGTCGTTAATATAATCACTTTCTTTCGCTTCCTCTCCCATTTCCAAATAAATATCCAGAGAAGGTATACTGCACGCCACGGTGTAGAAGACACTCACCGGCTAGGGCTTTGATCCTAGACCTCTCAAACAGTCTGGAAGACGAGTTGCCGCCGTCATATTCGTAGTCCTCGACGATTCCCGTCCCGTCCTGTTGTATGGCCGGATCCCACCGGACCACAGAGATGTCTGTCGTCATGGTAGCCAGACACCTCTATACCGACGTTTGTTTACACCTGAAAGAATAAGAATAAAATTAAAAAGAGATAAATACGAACAGCGACTAAAACTTAGTCTCGGGTCCCAGCTAGTTAGTTTTTTTTTTTTTTTTTAAAGGAACCAATTTAATTTGTAAACAATATGTCATCAAGTGAAAAATTATACATGCCATTAGCGATAGTGTCTTAATGTACTGTGCTAAGCACGCTAATCACGTCTCATCGCGTTTCTTAAGGTCCGTTCATTAACACGCGCCTTATAAGTCCACAGGAGCAGCGACGTAAAATATTCTGGAACGCGTTTCCTTTACACGTTTTTGTTACATGGAATTACCGAGAAACCTAACACGGTCATCAATATATCGACACAAGTGTTTACGGCAAAGGGGCTATATAAAATCGCACACTCACTCACAATTACTATCTACCAAGTCAATCGTTTCGGAGTCAACAAAGTCACTGACAAACTGACAAAAAAAAAATAGTAAATATCTTATATCGACCTACTTCGGGACGACAATCGATGACGATTTTGCCGCCATAGGATATCTCAACACAATTTCAAAAGAATACCCAACACTACGGTTAAAACTCCAACGACCTAACCCAATAGTCACATCATGCCCAGGCCGAAAGAGATTTGAGATTTTAAAAATGTTTAATAGGTTTTGAACGATAAAAAAAATTATGCGGCGTGTACACGTTGGGAACCGCGCAGCTGTTGGTTTGACTAATATAGTTTTCCGTCTTGTTATTCACATATTGTATTTATACTTATCAAAACTACAATATCGTTTTACGTTATTCGGCGATATATATATATTGTGTATGCTACTCTATGCTCGCTGACATGAGTTATTATACGAGTACACAGATGAGCACGTGTATTTCGATGTTATGGCTGGAAAAAAGAGCCGAAGGGTTCGAACAGCGAAAAAAAAATGTACTCGGTAGGAGCAACGGTCGTTGGTAATGGAGTACACTACCACACTACACTACACCATATAGTAGAATAATTCCTGAGCCGGCAGTGTAGGCGACGGGGGCAACGGCAACGAAAATAGAACTCGACAACCACTTTTCAAAGCTGTTGAGAATATTTTTAAAAGCGAAACACGCGCCAGTTGAGACGAGAACGTCGACCACCGTCGGACGGATGCAACGAATATGTATAATAAAATGTATGTATAATATTATTCTAAAGTCGAGACCAAACTAAACGTGCATTGCCTCCGTGTTCGGTCGGACGACGCCCACCCAAATCTAATTCGAATTTAATGATATTTTTTCAAAACCCTTACCCAGGTTTCTTTAAGAAAAAAAGTTTGTATTGAGTATATACAGAAATCCAATAAATCTATATAAACCTCATATTTTTGGGTAAATACAGAACATTTCACAGGGCTAAAACAAAAATATATAACTGGGTTTCTTTTTGCCAACTCTGAACCTCAATATTATATGAACCGAGAAAAAAAACACAAAACTGATTTCGGTGTAGCGGCATCAATTATTAACAGTAGACATTTTTGTAACTGTTGGTATATTATAAGGAGATTAATAGTTTGTGCAGTATATTTTCGAACTCGGTGTATACTTAATAATATATCGCGGTGTTAAATGATACGACGGTAAAATGTATATACTTATAACAACGGACCGTATACTTAACCGGTAAGCTCCGGCTGATTGCTCGGCTAACGAACGTTTTATAGAAAATGAAAACAGACACCGACGATAATGATATGGCGCGGCCAACGGAGAATGTCAAACTAAAGTGTATGACGTGTATACGTGATGGACGGGAGAAGGGAGGAATGCTAGCTGTGACCTTTGGCATAATTAGCTTTTTGGTATAATAACATAAATATGTAACAACAACAGTATCTCCATCAAACTGTGGCCAAATCTATAACCGCAACGCTAAAATAACAACCGGTACCGCCGGTAGGTGGATTTTGGAAGCGTGTAGGTGAGTTGGCTTTTTGTACTCCAGTCAAATAAACGAAACCCGCAGAGAGGGAGGACTGGTCGAGGTGACGTTTAACCAAAATAAATATTATTTAAAAAGGCGATGGAAGCAGCAAAAAAAAAAATGACTGATGTAGGCGTAGCGCGGCGTTCCGTAGAGGCCACAAACCGGCAACAGCTGTGCTGCGATACTAAATTGGAATAGATTAATTTTTAAAACACTACACGGTAGTTAACGGGTATACATGGGGGCTGTGCCGTTCCTATTCCGGGGCCAGAGTACTATAACATTATACAACGACTTCAAAATATGTCGATAGTTTCATTATTCAAGTAGCGGCGTACAATAAAAAATAATAACATCCAAAATTAATATACATAATCTAAACCACCGGCGGCAATCGAGTTCGCGTGTTTTACCGTCGTCATCCTGATGGTCTGGAAAAAATATCGCCGTCGCCACCGCCTATGGATACTTTATACACAAGCATAGGCGGTGATCGCTTTAGGTTTAAAAAAATATATAAATCCATAGAATACAACAACTGACAATTGTTATTTTGCGGCGACGACGACACGGACAAGAGCAATAAATAAAAAAATCTCTCCAATTCGATCGTCCCAGTTTCAGATGAAAATCGCAATGCGCCAATTTCTCGCTGTACCGAGAAGAAAATAAGATATCACATCCGCCGCACTATAACAGATAGAAAATTGCAATGCAACGTCCCAGATATCGTTTTGTCGAAATTCGAAGAGTTTTTAATTCCAGTTTTACATTTTTTTTTTTGTTTTGTTTGTTCACATTTTGCTGTTAAATATTTCGAACACGCGTCGTTATACTGTTGCGCGTACACGCCGGCATTACAACATTATACCGTCGAACAACGAGAGTAATAATTACATTACACTCCATTGTGAGAATATACACTGGACACTGCAAAAGGATCGTGTAAAAAGGAAAAATAATAATAACGTGCGTCGAGGCTTTGCGAGGAGACTCACGAAATATAATAGGTGATCTAGTATAGTCACACAATACTGTAAGATTCCTACTATGCTACTATGCTCGGCAAACACCACACACACATACAAACAAAATAAGATACAAGAAACTATTTTTCCGGCGACTATAACGACGCCAGTAAATCGGAAGAGCTTAACTCCGACGACGACAATGGAAATACTGATAGGTATATAAATAATTACACGTATAGTTATAAAATCAATTCGGTCTCATCAAATCAACATTGCCTATTTAATTGTATTCGTTAATTAAACACGCCCATTGATTGATGAAACGAATAACGCACACCTACTCAGATTTACAATAAAAGTCCGATTACGATGCATGTGTGTATATGCACATTATTTTATCGATTACTCAAGAGACCACAGTAGATGTAATGTACAATTACTCAAAGTTCAACTTAAAATTGTGTGTGTGCATAATACTTAATTAAACGTTAATCTGAAAACGACAAAGAAGGAACACTGGCTTGTGTTTTACTATTATCGTTTTGACGTTATACGGAAACAAATGTATTACATTTATTCCTAGATAATAAGAAAAATAACTTTAATTTATTTTTTATTCGCAATAGGAAATCATAAATAAATAAACTTGAAAAAAAAAAATAAAACAATTGGGTCATACTATTGCGGCGAGTGATCGCCCGCTGTCAGTGAATAACATGACCGTTCTCCGGGCGTTTGCGGTGGCCACCAAGTGCGCCACACCCAACAAAACGTGTTGGTGAATCCATTAAACTTATTGGAAATGCATAATAGCATAATAATTTATGTCCAAAATAAATTTAGGGAGAAAAAAAAAACTCCGCGGAAATTTCTACGACCGAAGAAAACCCGTCGTCTTCAGGCGATCGATTTAATTTACATTATTATTATAATGTAGTTTTTTTTATAAGGAATAAACGCTCACGGATACAGACTACAGACTCGCATGGAAGAAAACGAATCCACCGAGCAGATAACGCATCGTGTCCATGAATGCGTTACGCGGATTAACGACGTTTTATTCTTTTGTTGGAAACTTGGAGCAGCCGTCATGTCTGACCTCTAACTGAACAAATTAATGGAAAAAAAAAAACAACATAAATTATATTTAAACTTTTTATACTTTTATTTTTACAGCCGGCGTCGACCGTCACGGATTTCGTCGAGCTTTTATTACAATGACTTTGTTTTTCGTGACAAACGCAATTGCCGTCTTGGCTTCGCTTTGATCTTTGCCTTTGCTTCAAACCATCTACGCCCATACGAGTAAAGGTGTACATTTTACACACATTATCATAATAGCCGATCTTCTAATTACGCTTGTACACACCGACACCGTCCATCCGTCTGAACGCAGCGTAACGGTACCGAAGAACTCGTGGTACCGCAGAACAATGTGCCGCGTGAAATGAAGCAACAATACCGCAGGTCATTCAACTAAATGAAAAAACTTCCACTAGGTACAGGCTGTCCACTAAACCTACTACCATATAGCCGTTGCCGCTTCCCCCAACGCGTTCGACACTGATCTACTTATAATAATAACAACAACAATATCTGCCTTTTTTTTCCATACGTTTATACGATTTTTTATATATTTTTGTCCAACACCGGCTGACTGACCTCCAGGTTCAACTACCGTGACACATTTTTACTATGCATCGGCTCACGAAACGAGCGCCGGCCGACAACACAATTACAATGTTATAATAATATGATAATCACACATATATCAAACCTAGCAGTTAACGTACTCCAGTGGTAACAGAGTATGGAAGAGTTGAAACAAAGTGACTCTACTACGGCGGAGGCGGCGGCGCAGTCTACCACGCTTTGAGAACCCCTGGTCTCGCATAGACGGCGTTACTTATCGATTTTATACACACACAAACACACACTGAATTCCGTGCACGCGGTAAATGACGATGGCAGAGCGGTGTTTTCAAAACTAACTGCCGGCCGGTCAGCGGTTACCATCGGTTACCCGAATAACACTATAAAACTATATACTTGAACGTTTATAATATCGT